TGGAGCTGTGGGTTAAACATAATGAACATGGACAACAACATCAAAACACTGCAGGAGAGAACAGCCGTCTGCACGGCCGGTTGGCAAGAAGGACAATAATGCTTTCAGATTCCCCTCGAATGTGCTTTAGCAGATACATATTGGTCATTTAATCCAGGATTTCTTACGCTTAATGTTAATATTTTGACGTGACCATTGCAATACGTTTCCATAGAATAGAAAACATTTATTTGGTTGTGTGAATTTATTTACTTTCCAAATGTGACAAATCCAATCATGCTTTTTTACTTTCTGCATTGTGGGTTCAATTCAAACCAACTCACCAAGAGTTACGTTGCCTGAGATAATTTAATCGAAAATGCTGTTTGGCTGAATTTGTGTTGTGTGTTATTTTTCTCAGTGTCACAGTTCAGCTTCTTCTCATAGTTTGAGTTTGGGAATTAAATTGAGAAGCCTGCATAAAAATAACAAGAGATTAATGGGTTTTTCATCAAAATGTTTGATGTGATCTTTTATTTATTTCATTTTATAATAGTGTGCCGAATTATACGCCGTTGGTCTTAATATTTCACGTTTTCACTTTAGAGCCACAATGTTTGCCTGGTGCCCCACTTGCAGAGACGTGTTACCCTGTAGAAGCCCGTTGGTGTGTTTGTGATGTTTTTCGGGGTCCCAGACAAGGTTTCAACCTTACAGAACCCTAAAAAACATATATGTGATCTAACCTTTATCCAAACGCAATCGTTGTCATCAAATGGTCAAACAAAGCTAGAAGTTGATGATGATTACAAACTCATCCAGAAACCACCCTAAAAAATGTGTGGTACCGTAAACTCAGCCGAATATCAATCTAAAAATGAGAAACAATTCATCCATTTTGATGAAGTCACAATATAACAGCGTTAATGCATACATCCTCCCTCCCCCTTTCTGTCTCAGTCAGAGAGAAAGGAGCCCCAAAGACCATGGGCTATCCTGGCATTGGCACAGACTGTTGTGGCAAGCTCAAAGAGCCAGGTGCCGGCCTGCAGGGGGACTTGATTGCAGACTCCATCGACCTGTCAGGCAAGAACAAGAAACGACGCAATCGTACCACCTTCAGCACCTTCCAGCTGGAGGAGCTGGAGAAAGTCTTTCAGAAGACACACTACCCCGACGTGTACGCCCGGGAGCAGCTGGCCCTGAGGACCGAGCTCACCGAGGCTCGGGTTCAGGTGTGTGTGCCGAATCGTATATATTACCCCTCTTGGTTTCATAACTGTACGCAGAAGGCAGCCTGTGAGCAAGAGCTATGGTCTCTCCTGAAAAGTTCCTGTTACCCAATATTTTTGTATTTGAAAGGTCTGGTTCCAGAATCGTAGGGCCAAGTGGAGGAAACGGGAACGCTACGGAAAGATCCAGGAAGTCCGCAACCACTTTGCAGCTACATATGACATCTCTCTTCTCCCTCGCCATGATGCCTACCAGGTAGGCCACCACAGATCTTACATGACTTACATGTTGTAGAAATCTCAATTGTCTGAATTATACATTTGCAGATGTTGTACCTTGATTTGGTTGCCGACAGCGAAGCATGAAGTGTTTCCATTTTTATTCCTGCGAATGCATAATGTGTTCTATCTTGAACCCTTCACGTCAGATGCAGGGCAACCTGTGGCCTGGGGCGGCTCCGGGGGGAGGCGGTGGTTCAGGTCCTGGCTGCGTCCTGGGAGCGGACTCCATCCCCTCGTCGTGCATGAGTCCATACCCCCACCCCCACAGCAATCTGCAGGGCTTCATGGGCATGCCTTCATCCCCCAGCCACCCCCACCACCACCACCCGCCTCACCATCCAGGCATCAATGGCCTCTACTCACTCCACAGCTTTCCGGGAGGCCTTGGGCCTCCTTCCATCGAGGGGCCCGAGACTGACTACAAGCCGACGGGCCTTGTGGCGCTGCGTATGAAAGCCAAAGAGCCGGGCAGCATCCTCTCCTGGCCTACATGACCACTACAGTGCCAGCACCCTGTTCTGCACTGAGCCAAAAGCATGTTACATTCCTGAACCATAAACAGTCCAACATGTGACTCAAATAATTCCTCCTGACATTTATGTAAACTTAGAGACTTCCACAATTCAGAAGATCTTGGAGTATGAATTTCAGGAACATTGAGGGCAATTTGAGCCTCTTGAATAAAAGCCCAGTATTAATAGGAACTTTATTGTTTCCAGTTTTAGTTTGATGTCACATTGTTGGGAACAAAGAAGAAAATTATTTAAGCATGTAAAAATTGTAAGTATCATTGTAATCATTGTTCTTTTTTCTCTGTTGTGCTTTATAGTGTGACCAGTAATAAAGGCCTCCACCTACATATTGCTTTTTTCAGGAGAAAACTTTTTGCGAGAAAGCGATTAAGAAAAAGTAACAAGATCAAACTCAGTCGGAATTCTTTTTGCCTCAATATGACTGTTAAAAATCAAAACAAAAGTCTGTGTCATCATATTTAACTGGGAATGTTGTCGTGAGGCAAAATATGCTTTACAGGCTATGGCTGCCACAACATGAGGATTTCTGCTATGCGGGAAGAGAGCGTTTTCTGTATTTGGAAAGTGCACAGAGAGACCGTACATGTGCAGCACACTTTGGCCTCACTTCAAGAGCCCTTCAGGTGGCACCTCATGGATCAGAGGCGAGTGGCAGGTTCATTAATGTAAAGTTAACTCAGTGACCGCACTCCACCATTCATGATAAAGTAAGCCTCCCTCAGAAGGATGGCTTCACGTTGAGCCATTTATCATTCACATCTGGCATCAGTGGTAGCCCCGACCAACTGAGTAATGACTTTCAGTTTAATAGAATAAATTGGGGTTACCATGGCCCACTGAAGCCATTTGTCATATACATTGGGTAAAAATGTATATGACAAATATAAATCCGTGTCTTGCAGAGTCCAGAATGTATTCTGAATGCAATCTTCAAAGTGCGTTTCAGGATAATCTGAAATCTGCATCCCGTCACTGGAAAATGACTATATACCAACATATCAATGTCAGATGTGCAAACATTTAAATCTGTGAGAGATGAAGAACGCAACTTCAGTTGAGGTAAAAGACGGTTCCACTGGTGGACAAAGCCGTTCCAAGCTCCACTTGCTCCCCAGAAAAGCAGGCGGCTTACCGGAGACTATCCTGGCTCTCCTTCCCTTTTGCCTGCTCCACGTGAGCGCCCCGATGGGGCGGTTTACCAGCCGTTCCCCGAGTCCGTGCCGGGGTTTTGTGTGAGCCACTAACATGTGGTTCCAATAAAAGAATGCACAAACCCATCAGAAACACTTTCCGCACCCACAGCTTCAAATTCCAGCCAGGCCCTGGGAGACGCAGCCCTTACTGCAGTTACATAGTCCCCTGATTAAATCCCAGATTAAGTGGAGAAGATAAGGAGACCTGTCAGTAGGGATAAGGGATTGAGGAGATGGCCATCTTTAAAAGCTGAAGGAATAGCAGATGGTGGATCAGCGCTCATTTTGAGTATTTATTTTATACGGTTAAATAAATCTGCCAAAGCAGAAGAGTAAACTCAGTGGCTTAGCCAATCTGATGTGTTAACTCTTGAACAATGTCAGGCTGGTTGTGAAATAATAGACAGCAATATGTATATTTGCCGAATAGGGTTTGGTCAAAAACAAGACCAAATGAGAGTTACTTCATCTTATAAGTTTTGATTAATTTAAGTTACAGGGGTATGCACTTTGACCCGTGTTGGATCAATACATCAGGCAGAAAAGGCCTCATATAAAAAAATGTTGGTATAAGAATGCACAACTCTGGGATTACTTAATAACTCGTTATGTGTGAGGGTCATCGGGTGAAAACTGTCACTTGAATTTGAAAATGACTATATCCTTAGCCTCATTAATGCACAAAATTCTGATTTAATGCTCATTAAAAGTCTGCAGAGCTGCCTGCTGGCCACTGCTCTGAGCTTTGATCTCAACCAGATTTCTCTTGGCCTTGAAGTGCAGCTATTGTGATTGAGATCCTTGTTTTTGAAGTAATAGGACTTCATTTAACGGTTTCCACAAAGCCAAAGAATGTGGTTGGACAGTGCGGCTGTCTCTGTAACACAGTCAGACTCTCGTGGAGGCCAGCGAGTTCAACATATAGCTGCCTCAAGATGTTGAACTTAATTTAACAATGGGTCAATTGAAGCATTAAACAAAAAGAGTGGCCATACTTAGTTGTTTCATTGTTAAGTGTGCACAACATATTTTCTTCCTATCCAAAAATAGTGGTAAACTCAGCAAAGTGTCATTGTATTCCATCATGATTGAAACATTCCTTTGACTCTGTACATGCGAAAATAACTCAAGGACAAAAACAGGACAATCCCTGATCTATTTTAACGTTCTTTTTTTATCTCAAAATAGGAAAGTCTTAACTAAAAGTAACCAGGTATTGAGATGTTACATATTAAAATGCCTGAAGGATATCCAATTAACCCACAAAACAATTATGCTTGCTTGGCAACTGTATCGCCTACTTACTTACAAGGAATCACTTGTTGATGAGCAGCTGGTATTTGCCCGCAGGAGGCCGAATGCCATTCTTAAGGATACGTGGTTTCACTGTGCTGTTGGGTTACTGTTCAATCACTGCCACCTTGTGGTATGAGGTCGGCGTGTTTCAAGAGATGGAGAAACATTTTACATATATTTGAATAGTTATAATGGGGATTGAAAAAAACCGGGGCAGCTCACAAAATTCCACGTACAAATCAAATGACACATTCGCAAAGCCCTGCGATCATAAATAAATAAATAAACACTGGCTTGTTGTGTATATATTGTTTAGTACTGAGACACGGCTACAGATAGTGATGGTGATTCGTGTCTATTCGCAATAAATACAAACGCAAAAAACGCATAAATGTACGTCCACATTTAAACGCCCCACTGCGTGAGTGACATGCGCTTAAAACTTTTCCACCCTGTTTTTTAACCAATCGGGTGGCAGGGGCGGGCCTTCACGTTAATCTGTACAAAATGGCGACTGTTGTTGTTTTGCTGCAGGGTCAGTGAATAAAACCGATTTTTCATTTCAATAATTCTCTGAACACTACGGCGGAAACAGCAATAAAACCCCCCGCTGTCCCGAGGCTCGGCTCCGTGTGGACTGAAATGAAAGGTAAAGAGCGGTCGCCGATCAAAAAACGCTCCCGGGCCTTGGACGATATACGAGACAGGGGAGGATGCCACCCGACCAGCAAGAAAATGGGGGCTCTCTCCGTTTCCAGTGGGAGTAATAATGGAAACAGCTCGGCCAAAAGCGACGGCGGCTCGACGAGAAGGAGTTTACTCGGCGAAAAAAGAGACCGGGACTTTGACGGTCACAGTCGGACTGCGAATAACCACAGTTGTCAGTCCGCTGCCGCCAGCACCATCGGCAAAAACCACAACCTAAGCCTGACGCTGGACTTGGCCTCGCCGAGGACCACGTCCCGGGGGGAGCAGCGGGTGCAGCCGCCCGGCACCGAGAGTGAGTACAAAGCCCTCAAGATAAGCGACCTCGGCACCCAGCTGAGCGACGAGGACATCGAGGACGGACTCTTCCACGAGTTTAAAAAATTCGGCGACGTGAGCGTTAAGATCAGCCGCAGCAACGACGAGCGGATAGCCTTCGTGAACTTCAGGAAGCCGGAGGACGCCCGCGCCGCCAAGCACGCGAGGGGCCGCTTGGTGCTCTACGACCGGCCGTTAAAAATCGAGGCGGTGTACATCAACCGCAGGAGGAGCCGCTCCCCGGTGGAGCGGGAGCTGTACGCCGCGGCTCAGGCCCACAGACACTTGCAGAGACCCCTCTCGCCCACCGGGCTCGGATACAGAGACTACCGGCTGCAGCAGCTGGCCTTGGGACGGCTCCCGCCTCCTCCGCCGCCGCCGTTGCCCCGAGAGCTGGAGCGGGAGCGGGAGTTCGCCCTGTTCGAGGCCCGCGCGCGCCCGGCTTTCATCGCGGAGCGAGCGGCGTTCCGCGAGGAGGATTTCATATCGCCGGAAGATGACCAGAGAGCCAACAGGACGTTGTTTTTGGGCAACCTGGACATAACGGTCACGGAGGCCGACCTGAGGAGAGCCTTTGACCGGTTTGGGGTCATCACGGAGGTGGACATCAAAAGGCCCACGCGAGGACAAACCAGCACGTATGGATTTCTGAAATTTGAGAATCTTGACATGGCCCACCGGGCTAAACTTAGTATGTCGGGCAAAATAGTAGGCCACAACCCCATAAAGATCGGTTATGGGAAAGCTACTCCCACCACACGCCTGTGGGTGGGGGGCCTTGGACCCTGGGTACCTGTAGCTGCCCTAGCAAGAGAGTTTGACCGCTTTGGCACCATAAGGACCATTGACTACAGAAAGGGGGACACTTGGGCCTACATTCAGTACGAGAGTTTGGATGCCGCACAGGCGGCGTGCACACACATGAGGGGCTTTCCGCTGGGAGGTCCAGAGAGAAGACTTAGAGTGGACTTTGCAGACACTGAGCATCGTTACCAGCAGCAGTTCCTGCAGCCTCTCCCGATCCCACCGTTTGACATGGTGGCCGAATCGTTTGTCCACCGCGCAACACCTGAACCGCTGAGGGTCAGGGAACGGACTCCACCGCCACTTCACTTCAGGGAAAGAGAGCTCTTTCCTGGAGCTGAGTGGCCCAATCCAGCTATTCGCGATCGGGTACGTGCGTCACCTTTTGAGCCTCTGGAGCACTTGGAACGTGAGCGGCGGGCGCGGGAGCCTTGGTCTTTGGAACGAGAGCTGCAGGGACGAGAACCTGCACGCAAGCGGCGCATAATGGAGGACGGACGCCACTTAGACCACTCCCCCGACAGCACGGAGAGGACTGTGAGGCGTAGGCGTGCTTCTCCAGATGGCAGTCCCGGAGGCAGCAGCAGGGATGGAGGGCGCTTCAGCGACTCGGAGCGCCCTCTGCGGGCCGAGAGACCCTCTCCAGCACAAGAACGTCACAGCAGCCTGGAAAGAGGTGTGGCTGAACGGAGACTCAAAAGCCAGATACTCTCCGACAAGGGAGCGCCGAGCAGCACCGTGTCAGCGGTTGGAGAGCGCAAGCGCAAAGCCGGCGACGTCGGCAAGGGGCCGGCCAAAAGAGAACGTTCCGAGATCAATTCCAAGGGAGGCCAGACGTCCAAAGCCGACGGCACAAAACTCTGCTTGGCCTGGCACGGTATGCTTCTGCTCAAGAACAGCAATTTCCCAGCCAACATGCACCTGCTGGAGGGGGATCACAACGTAGCCAGCGACCTGCTCATCGAGGGCACGTCCGGGCGGCAGGTGAGCGAGCTGAAGATCACCCAACGTCTCCGTCTGGACCAGCCCAAGCTCGACGAGGTGTCCCGGCGCATCAAGGTGGCGGGTCCCGGCGGCTACGCCATCCTGCTGGCAGTCCCTGGGGCCACGGAGGACTCGTCTACGTCCGACCCCGCAGCCTCCACTCAGCGCCCGCTCCGTAACCTGGTGTCCTACCTCAACCAAAAACAAGCCGCGGGAGTCATCAGCCTGCCCGTGGGAGGGAGCAGAGATAAGGACAACACGGGGGTGCTTCATGCTTTCCCCCCCTGTGATTTCTCCCAGCAGTTCCTGGATTCCTCTGCCAAAGCTCTGGCTAAAAGTGAAGAGGACTATTTGGTCATGATTGTGGTGCGTGGAGCATCTTAAAAAAAAAAAAAAAAAGGAAAAGGAAAAAAAAGGAACACACAGAAGTTCAAGTGGTGTAAAAAAAAAAAAAAGAAAAGAAAAAAAAAAGCATCTGCTGTATGTCAGTAACTATTGCATGCTGTGTGTTCTGCATTATGGCGTACACTAGTATGGTCCTTGAGTGTTTCTATGTTACCATGTAATCCACTGAAATAACAAACCCTGCCCTCATACTAAACTAAAAGGATGTGTGTATTTGAACTTATTTTTGAAAGGGTGAATTGAATTAATTGCTCAGAGTCATAAACCTGCAGTAATTCAGTCAAAACGTATTAATACAGTAAAATATGAGGAGCATTTGTTGAATAAGTTTAACGTACGACGAAATGAGGCGTATAGAAAACATTTTTGGGTTGATTGGACGTTATAAAAACTGAGCTATCCAACTCCACTACAAAAAAACCTAAATAATTTAGATTTGCACTGAGTAGACACAATATCACCCACTACAATAACACCACAAACAATGGCTTCACAAGCTGGGACACACCTCCCTCACTCCGTGTCAAAGGTCACGTTTTTTCCAGGCTATTGTACTGCATTGCCTTAGATGGGACGGGTGTTCTTGTGTGTAACCCCAGTATAGGCATTTACATGAGGAGAACTTCAGAAACATTTCAATTACAGTGTATTAATATTTCTACCACTGAGCATGACACTTTTTAATCAACGGTTCTCAGTGGCGGTGGAGCGAATGTTTTGGTACAAAGCCAGTCACGAGGGAAAAAAACTCCAGCAACATTTTGAAGGTCAAAGCGCGTCGCAAAACTTTTCTCGTGCACAACATTCAGCAGCTCGGTGAAGGGCGTGTTTTGTGCTGCAAGAGTTGTGCGCCGTGTTTCAACTTTGAAAGTTGTAAAACATTTTGGTCACCAGTCAAAGTATCTCTGGTACATAGACTGGTACGTTTCAGTCCCTAATGCTGTGAATTCTGTTAAGAAAGAAACACAAATTACGTTCAGGTTAAAGGTTTGGTTTTGAGGAAATCTTTCAGTGTTTCTCAGTATTGGATCATCAAATTGCACGACAGACAACGAACTATGTGTGTGTCCACTCAGCATTCCACAAAGAACGGACTTTGTGGAATGCTGAATACTTGCAGATGTGATATTTTTGCGCAGGGAACAGCCCATAACACTCACAGCCTAGTAAAGCAAATACTAACATGTTGTTCATATTTTTTACTTAATATTTTATTTTGTGCATCCCTACCTTTTAGAAATGGTTGTGTAATGTGATCTATGAAAAACTACAGTAGTAATGGATAAAAAAAAAGCTTAGAGTTTTGTGTTGTTTCATTTATTGCTCTGAAATCAGTAGGTCCTCAAATACTATTAATAGTCAGTATCATTAATATGTTGGTTCAAAGTGAAAACCTGCTCTTTGTTCAGTAAGTAGGTCTGAGGAATTTTAAAGTTTTAGAAACACTTTAAAGGTTCATGTTGGAATTATTTTAGAGGTTTTAATTGCCAGCATGCTCTCATCTCTCAAGGCCTACTTATCCAATTCTGTTTCGCCATTGTGCGTTTGTCATGCAATAGAAAATCGCTGATTTATTATGGTTTGATATGTATTGAAAACATTAATATGGCAGAAAATTTCTATGTGTGAACATCACGCCCACTTCAACGTTGGACTCTCGAGGAGACGAAACCCTCTGCAGAGCAGCGGTTTGTGAGTCCTCACTAATGAGGCAACTTTTAAGTTGTGTATCCCGACTGCACCTGTGATGACTTCTGTTTTAAATGGAAAAATGAGCAATGTACACTTTGATGTCATGGGAGAGAGAGGAAAATCCATAGAGCCCCATGCGGAGCTGTTCACATACCTGCAAGTGCGTTTGGGCACTTAATGTGACCGATTATCAATAAATTGTTCATTTGAAGGGAAACCTGTTTCTTCGATGGAAGTGAATTGAAGAAACACGCTGCCATACCTTAATGTGTTTCAACGGAGTTGTCACATGAGATTTTGTTTCTGCACACGTGGAAGACGACTTGCAGTTTGTTTAGCACCAGTGAGGAGAGAGACCCCCTCCCACCTCGCCCCCCCCCCCCCTGTGCTGCACAAGGATCGCTGTCTGCTTACCGGCCTGTTCTGAGCTCCTAAGTTGCCCGTCATAAATCACTCTTCCCCCCCCCCACACGAATCTCTGTTACTCCGTCAACGTTTCCTGGACAGGATGGAGGAGCCTTCGCTGCCGGTTGCTTACAGCCAGCCTGCGCTGTGAGACGCTGGCTGAGTCAAGGGCAGGAGCCAATGGCAGCACAGTTACCTGTCGTCTCATTACTCTAAAGCTTTGTGTGCCTTTTGTACCTGGTGCCGAATAGGAGCAGAGGAGATCCCATTGCCGGCCGCCACGCACTCCACTCAGGAGGTTGTGTGTGACGCCTCTTTGAAATTTCCATAGCGTCGGCAGTTCAAGCTCTCCGAATGCGGAAGGGCGTGCTGAACCACTGGGGTGATTTGTCTTGATTGCTCTTTGCCCGGTTATGATTTGATTTGACTTACCCAGGGGAAGAGGATTGGCCCAGACCTCAGCTAGGAATATTGTCCACCACCGCCTCCGTCTTCTCTGATTGAACCGTCTCCGAGGAGACGAGCGAAGAAGCGTGTTTGTGGAGCTGAAGCTGTGTTCCATCGTCATGGAGATGAAGTACCACCAGCCCAAATTGTTTTCCCTTTTTTTGAAACTTCTGGAAGGAATCCACGCTGCGGACCCCTGCTCTCCTCCAAGTTCCTCCAGGAGACTTGTTTATTTTGCCAACATCTTTTTATAATTTTACGGCCACTTACCGCAGGAAAGAAAGATCCCATCCCCTCGTCCTCCCAAGCACTTCAGTCATGCTAATGTGAACAAATGCCACGTAGAAGGACCTCTGACTTCACCAGAGAAACATTGCCATCTTGAGGACCGTGGAGCTCCTGCTTTCCTCTCACGGTCTACCTGACAAATCACACTCACGCACACCAGACACCCGGGACGGAGCCGGTATCGCTCTGACTGCTGTATAGAAACGACACGCGGGTGAGTAACGGAGAGAGAGGGAGAGTGCTGTCTGCCGGGTCTGTATCGGTGGCTTAGGCAGCAGTGGTAAGTATAACATGTTAACACCACACACTTCATAATAACCCTTTTAACCAGTAATATTACTGAGGTTACTTTCACTGATGGCAGAAATTCAATTGTGAGATAACAGGGTGATTTTACGCCGACGTGCTGCTCCCATCAGCAGATCGAAACTTGGTTGGTTGACATTTCACAAGCTACTGCAGTTGATACCAAATGTAATCCATATCAATCACTTAAATGTTCATCTTGGCACTCTTTCAAAAATAGCCGGATACTACAGGACAAGTCTTCAGGATCTAAAATGGTTAATATCTCCTTCAACACAAAAGAAAATGTGTTTCTTAAGCCTGAAGCATTAGGCAAATGTAATTACAGGATTTTTAATGAGGAAAGAAAGGGAATTTAGGCAAAATAAAATGTTTTTTGTTAATTAGTGAAGGTCACAAATGAAAGCCTCCAGTCAATATAGTCAAGAACATGAATTTAAGATTTAAAATAGGCCCAGTGACCTTTTAAATCCATCACACCCCATTAGTTAGAAATCCAAATGTCGCTTGTGAAAACAAAATGAATCTGTGGCCAAAACTTGGTTGCTTAATCTGGCATCTCACTGGTACCAGTATGCTTTGTTTTTGCTCTCCCAGCCTATTGGGCCGTGTGAGCAGCTGTATGTGCTGTTTGTCATAGCGCGTCAAACCGGAACCACAGAGACCTGCACATTAACAAATCAATAGATCAAGGAGCAATACGCTTTGTTCAAAAATGAGCTTGTGTCTGCGCCGTGCGAACCCGATAGGACCCCTTATAATGAGGATCAGGTTTAAAGGCTACTTGGTGAAATCAATAGACCGACAGCTGGAGAGAATAAGTTGTACCGAGTCACCTGATTTCCAGATAAGAGCCGTTAGCGCTCTGCAGAGGTACCAATCATTTTGGGCACCGAACCTTCACCTCAGTTCCACACGTCTCTTAGTCAGAATATCTGCTCATGTAATGAAGCGCTTGGAAAAGAGCATTGATTTGACTACTAGACAAACATTAATCTATAAAAGCCACATGTGTCCAAATACAATTTTACGCTTAAATAAATAAACCCACGCTGATTGCGCTGCAGTTCATTGAGGCGTAAGCACCCAGTTGAATATTATGTTGATTACCAGCACTAACAATCCATTTAAAATTCTTCACTCTAAACTGCTGTCGCGATTACAACACATCTTTGTTTCCTTCACAGAGTCACACTGGACAGCAGGCAATGCATCCGTTTGTTTCCAACCAACACGCCATGCGATGTCATCTACTGTAAGTAACCTGTTTACTTTGATTAACAGTGTATTTACTCTTTTTTTTTACCATGTGAAATAATTACAAGGACTTCTTGACTCTACCGTTTGACCCAAGATGGAAAATAATGTAAAAACACAGTCTGAATAATTTGATTTAATCACGTCAGTGTGTCTAGAGAAATGTGTCAATAAAATATGTAAAAGATGTTTCTACTTGTGGGTGTTTTCCTCCTGAGAGACAGACGTTGGTGTGGCATCACTTCATTTATTATCTGAATCAAACAAAAGCTGACTTCAGTCACATGACAGCTTTTCTTCAGCTGACTGCGAACTATTACAAGGCTTAAAAAAAACAGCTCAAAGAATGACCTTGGATATCTATGATTGGTTAAGCATATTTTTTAAACTATCAGTTCAAACGTCCACGAGACAGTTCTAACATAACAGTGCTTCACCCATAGATGCATTTGCTGCAACAGTTAATTATCAGCGGCGTTTAAGAAGGGACACACAAATTATTTCAAGATATCGCTCAAATATCCAGATAACTAAACAAGTAAAATAAACCCAAATCTACTTAAAGCGTCACATACATTTCATAAAAGATTTATTATGGTACAAAATATTCAGTGGCCTTCCACCTCAAAAGCAAACCGGCTGTGAATGAAACTCGTGAGCCAAAAGAGCTTTTGTGCGTGACTGTCGAAACAACACAAAGAGCCCTGCTCAGTATTGTGAAAGTGAGACGACGGGGAATAATTTGGTACTAATTGAGGCAGCATTCTTTGCGTAGAGGCTGTCCTTTGCCACAAGAGGGCGGCGTAACAAAAAAACGCACGTCCAGAACTGGATTCTGGTCTGTCCTCAGACCTCAAAATGACAACAATGGATGAACATCGTAATTTCAATTATATCGACAGTCCAAGCTATTTTCGACTAACATGAAGCTTCAAGTTGTAGGTTGGTTTCTAATGTGTCTTTGGCTGACATCACAGGAAAGTTAGTAAAGATACATAATAGTACCATGTAAGGCAAACGGTGGTGAACAACAAGAACTGAAGACACCAAAACAAACCCCCCCCAAACATAATCACAAAATAATCTTGAATTGCAATACCAACAATTGGCTGCCTGCAGGCACTGTAGAGGCTTGGCAACCGTTTTTTACCATTCCAGTTTAAATGGGAAACAACAGCAAAACCTCTTTAGAGGAACAGACATTCAAGGTAGAAAAGACTACACTCAATCACATACAATGACACAAAGAAACCTGCTCTTCAGCGGAGCTCATCAGCAGTCTTACTGTGATCGAAACAGGCTTCTTCACTCAGTGTATCTTTGCAGTTAAGAGTTCAAATGGTGTGCAAGTGAGCTGTCGATGACAGATCTCTCTGTGTACTTGCATAGAAAAGTTCAGACAGTGAGCTGGGTGTGACAAGATGACAAGTTGTTAAAAGGAGTCATTACTGAGCCATGGAATAAACAGGGCAGTTTCTAGTCGGTAGATTTGAGATAGTCGCTGCTGAAGTGCTGAGATAATTTCAAAAAAGAAAAGCGTGCTCGCTTGCAAGCGAAACGCTGGCGCAAACCCTGTAGAATGTGTTAAAACATCATAGTAGATGAAGGTATGACTACATATAAAAGGGTCAAAAAGGAAAATAAAACATTTCAAACATCCCTTCCATAACAATCTATAGGGGAAAGCACTCAACAAGTTGAGGTTTGAATGTCTAACAATGCTGGTTTATTTGACGGATCAAAACGATGGGCGGCATATCAATAAACATCTAAATGCTGTAGCACACGCGGAACAATCCATCCCTGTGTCTGCAATGATAGAGTTGTGGCCAGAGGCTTTTGTACTTGAAGCGTTTGCTGCTTTTTGGCTTTGATGAGCAGTTTGCACATTATGTCACGCAGGCAACAAAGAGGGGAAGGTTGTGGATGTCCAATCAGTGGGGACGTTAAATGTAGCGGTTGGAAGCAATGCATTACTCGCTGTGCTCGAACCCGACGCAGAACGCTGAGTCAGAAGCTAAAAGGCACAGCCAGCACGACTCGGCCAGCTGCACAAATCAAGCTTCTCTTTCATATCGGTGTCGCTGAGGACTTTAATTGTCTGCATTTAACTGACTAGACGTCCACGTGAAAAAAGCAACATTTTCACTTTCAGTAGTTGCTCAGTACCTTAATAATCATGCAGCATAAATCACGACTTGGCCCAAAGTGCATACCAGTGAGTACAGGTTTACAGACACAGATGAAGGCTTCCATAAAAATCAATTGAGAGGCAATTCATCACGGATATGTGCTTCTATTAAATGCCATTACAGAAACAACAGGAGGAGAATTTTGGAAAGGGACTTCAAGCTCAACTGTGTAAGCTTTGTTTGCAGTGATAAAACCTAAATAACAGGATTCTGCAAAGTGAATGCAGGTTTGGTGTTGAATTGAAAAACATATTTAGTTTGAGTTGTTATGATTGCAAAGCAGCAAGCATTCGAATCTGTTGGATGAACTATATTCTTAGTTTCGGATGCATCTTCCTCTGAGAAGTAGTAAATATTCAGCAGAACACTACAGTTGTGGCTCTTTAACAGTTCAACATAAACACACAGTTGCCGCCGTCCTGCATGTTCTCAGAGACGTTGCCGGGGGTTTCCTCGGCCCGTGATTCACTCCTGCTGAAATTAAGGGTCACTTGGGTCCGCGGTCTAAAGCCCGAGTCCAAGGTCCAAGGCATGCAGGCCCGCTGACGGCAAGTCGCGAGCATGCTGGTTCAGGATCGAAGGCCTTTCCCCGGGTTTCATTCCTACACAGCGCCGTTCTGCAGGCGGTCAGGGGCGAAACAGCCGTTGGTCTTACAGCTGCTTTCTGCGGTCTTGGTCCGGGTTACTTTGTTCTTGGCCTTCCAGCGCTGAGCCAGCGGCTCCAGGAACAGAGAGACGGAGGAGAGCAGATAGCAGAGCCCGGCCAAGTAGAATGAGCAGTCGTACGTCTGAGTGTAGTCGTACAAGAAGCCTGCAGAACACCGAAATAGTAACACATATATGTCTCGGTAATGAATATACACGACAGGTTTCATTTGAAGCAATACCTTTAATAATATATCATGTAGACGCAAGCTTAGGAAGCCTGTTGAAAGGGTTGATCTGGGGATTAATGCTGAATCTTATTTTTCAAATAAGAAATCAATATAAAAACAATGAGTTGGTCTAAAATGACATACAAATAGACAATTCTAATTCTTACATTTGTGTGCTATATGTTGTGCAGAAACAGTGGAAATAAGTTTTTCACATTTGTCTGTGAAAAAATGTGAAAAATTAAATTCCATATTGTCAAAAATGTCATATATTCGAAATGTTACAGTAGTTTTAACCAAAAAAAGTATACTAAAAACGAATGTACCCTTAGAAATGTATGTAATAAAAAGTTGTATTATGGCACAAAATGTGTTTTTAGTATAAAAAAAAGCAGCTACGACTAACATTTAGCTATTGTTGACATGAATTATTGCACAGTTAGCAATCCGGAAGAACTAGATATGACAACAATGTTTTCATAGGGGAAAGGACCATCGTTTGCCTCATGTTTGTTTCTTAGTGGAGCAGCAGGGATGGTAAACAGAGCCACATGCTATTTCCATACAAGCCGAAAGGGGGTCATTAGTCACATCAAGGCCGAAATCCATATGCTGCTTCGAAGGGACGGCCCAACCCGGTTTACTGGGTCCGTGTCAACGGGTTCAAGGGAAGCAGCCTGTTGAACCTGAGCCAAACGTTACCTAAGGGAGTCCCTCCCCACAAAAAAAATGTAGTCGAGTATGTTGTGCAAGCTCCAACCAAGTTTCAGTCTTCTATGTGAGTGCCACATGTAGGCGTATTTCACAACCTGTTGTCGGCACAAAAACTGTAACAACAAACAGGTTGCTGATTGGAACCGTCCCTCTAAGACTTGACAAAGACAAACTGCCTTCAGTTACAGAGAGGGACTCAAACACGGCATAAATCCCCCCTGTTATTCTACTTAACTCGCTTCAAGGCAAGACGACGTGACGCAGCCCCTTTTTTAAAACTTTTTTTTTGCCAGCCAAAAGTCCCTGTTGGCATAGAGAGACCTATAGGCAGTGTGTTCAGTGTTCACCCTCCGTAAGGACCGGATGCGCACAGACAGGAAGGAACACTTGCCAAGGCACCGCATGGAAATATGAGCCTCAACAACCTCCATTCACTCACCTACAGTTTGACACTTTAATGGACTGAAGCACACAAACGCACACACACGTGTACTGTGTTCACTTCAGGACAGTAACGCCATGGCGATATACACAGAAAAATGGGTTAGCACATGAGTGACTAAAGGTTTTCCATGACGTTAATCCTCTCACCTGCCAAAGGAGGTCCTGTCAGGCAACCCAGGCCGACAAAGAACATGGAGAAGCCCATGGAGTTGTTGAGCTTCTCTGCCCCCACGAGATCGACCTGGCAAATCATGGAAAGAAAGGTGTTTTCTATATGCAAAAAAAACATATTCTTCATCTCGCCACCATGTTGTAACAGTTTTAGTACAACTTCAGTCCCACATTAAATACCTCATACATAAATGCATAAATTACCTTTCAAAAACTTACAGCATAAAAAGCCAAAAGATAAATACCTAATAATTCATGCTTGAATGACTTTAAATGCAGATGTCTGTCGGCAAAATACCAGGCGAAGGTCATCCGAGATAACATCACAGCAACACCGGTCCGACGAGGTGAGATGCCAGCATTACCAGGAAATTTAATTTACTGACATATTTTTCAAACAGACATCAGCAGACTTGTTTGAATGAGTTTTTTTCCTCCGGTGTGATGTGAGCGGTCGTTACTGGATACTCGCCGACTTAAAATGTTGTCCCACCCATTTAGTCACATTGAAACAGTCTGTTTCCGTCTGTTCGTGTGACGCAATGATGTAACAAAGCCACAATAAGCAACAATACAGTTACTGTGATTCAAACAGAGTAGAGTGTGTGATTACTGTTCGGTCTCTACTGGCGCTGGCGAGAAAGCACATTGTAGCATTTATTATTTAATTGTTAAAGCCAACCTTTTGGCATATTCCAATGAGCAGTTTTTTATTTGAAATCTGTTCAGAATCACTTTCTATCTGCCCTGCAGTGAGTCAGCATTATCATAAAGTAACCATGAGCGTATCTGTGTGGAAAACAGTTTTACAGCAGGTGTCTAAATGAAGTTGAAAAAAGGTGGGTTAAGAGTAAGATAATTCTGCCAATACAGAACACTTTATATGGAAAATATTCACGGGCAGTTTAAGTTTTCACTTGCTCCATGGAACACACACTGAGTGAGAAGACCAGCGAGGGAGTGCACTTGATCATCACACCTTTTGATATATAATCCACGTGACCCAGTGTCTGCAGCAGGAGACGCACACACAGTCTCTGTGCCCAAGACCTTCTGTTTTGCTCTCATTGTTGGGCTTGGCCTTCAAAACTGAGCATTTAGTCTTGTTTGATAATGAACTATTCATCAATCCATAATCTGGGACCCCATATTACAATTCTTCCTTATAAATAAGACGAAACCTGTTAAGTAAAGCTACTTGAAGGCTCCCTTCACAGGTCCCTTTTTACAAATGCACAGCATGGAGGTTTCAATAGCGGGATCTCCTTACTAGAACGGGGAGGAGGAGGGCCATGTATCCACCGCAGAAGACGGCAAAGAAGACGGCGTAAACCATCAGCAGAAGGTAAGAGGTCGCCAGTGGGGAGAGCAGGTTGACCAGGCCGCAGAGGATCAGGTAGGCCTTGTGGGAGTGGTATTTGTGGAACAGGTTCCTGTCCGTCACCCAGCCTGAGGCCAGCTGGGCGATGGTTTCTGTGATACCTGCAAGCAAGGCAAACAAGGGGAGGGTTAGGAACATCAAAGCAACATTACAAGATTAAGATGAATCTGGGACAATAGAGAAAAAAGCGGAGAAAAATAAGTGAAAACGAGACATCTGTATAAACTCATCAGCTTACCTATTTTTGGGCTTTTAAAACGCATTGAAAAGCATTATTGATAAAGCTGATAATTATGGTAAAAGAAGGTAAAGGAAGATATTCCTCACTGTTTCTTTAAGGAATGAGTAAGAGAAGAGAGGCAGACTGGGGAATTCATACAATAAAATATTCAGGTAGAAGCTGGTCTTTGGTAATGGAGTTTTTGATGGAATCCAAAAAAAACAAAGCATCACAGCTCTTGATCCCCTTTAACAAAACATCTTCAATAATCAGGAAGCATAAAGTTTTACATTTACAAAATAGATCCAATCTGCCTGAATAAAGCAGACTGATTGTTAAGCACTAGGAATAATTTAATACCATAAGGCAAATTTAGAGAGTTTCTTTTTTAAATTGGATGCATAAATGAGTCAGATGACCAAAATGTAAAATATCTCTTTTTTAAAACCACAGGGCTGAAATGTATCCATGCAGATAGTGTGAACCAGGCGGAAATATCTCAACAGTTGACGTTTTATAAAGACATTAATGGTTCCCAGATAAGGATACCTGCCTCCTACTGTAGCGCCACCACCAGGTACATTTTGTTTTTGGTGAAATATATTGACAACTATTAAATGGATTACCATAAAATGTGGTCCTTTTAAAAGTATGCAGTTTTTGTCTGAGATAACAGTGTGGAGGAAGTGTGTGTTTGTTTGTTTGTGTGCTTATATGTGGGACAGACACAGAACATCAGGGAAGAATGATACGCAGCAGCTAAACCACAAAGGTCGGCATTAATAACAAATATCCGATCCATTTTGAGTGCCAGTTGTTGCTGTCCTCTAAAACCAGACGACTTCCACAAACAAGATAAGCATTTGTAAATATCTGTATTACACTTGCAACACCAAGGAAAACTACTCGCGCTCCGGCCCGTCTGATTGATTTGTTTGCTGCAGTCGGGTATGATGACTGGGCAGATATGTGTTGCTCTCTGCTGAGGTCAACTGGAACGCGATATGCAGTGCGGAAACTGCAGAGGTGTATTGACCGGCGCAGGAATAGCTACAAGGAGGCAGCGCTGAGCCATTGATCAATGAAACAAACTGGTTCTATGCAGATCAGTCACCGGCCCTTTGCTCAGCCTCTGCACCAACAACTGCACAGCCTGCAGCCACTGACACGGAAAGAGGGGCAAATTCCGCTGAATATGGATGAGTTAGGATAAGTTACCGTGTCAAGAATACGGATCTATCTGGGTTTTGTGTATACAGTAAGGGTTAAATAAATCTCCATAAATCAACAAGTGGATATAATTTGAGATGCAGAGTTACATCTTCACTGTTCAAGGCTTTGACTAATGTTCACATGAATAACAAACAGAATGCCTCGTCGGTGAAATGAAATGATTACATATACCGTATAGATATAAAATACACTCTAGAGCCTTTCCCTCTCTCCGAGGTTAGAGAGATGACATGAGGCAGCTGTGCTATGTTTATGTGTCCTCCTCTAGTGTCCCGGGGTGTCCCTGCTTGCACACAGACAAGTTGTGAGTTTGTTTGTGTGTTTTAGCCCCAGCAGGTTGTTTCAGGCCTGCAGCTGTTCTTGTTCAAATTCAGTACAATGCCGTTTAAATTTGGCCTTTCCAAGTCGCACATTAAGCCAACTGCATAAGGGACATCATTAGTTCTCCCCTTAGTCAGGGGAGGGGGGGGGGGGTGACAGGTACAGAAGATGTATACTTTCTGCCTGCTTCTGTGCGATAACCGACTGTCGGGAGGTTGCAAGGCACAGGCAGGCGATTCCCTTTGCTCCGAGGAAGAAAACTTGTCACTAAATTAAAGCAAAGCGGTTATAAAAGACATGTTGGTTTTCCCAGCTTCTCTGAGGTGGAAGTTGGCTTGTCTTCCCTCCTCTTTTTTTTGTTTTACGTATTCAGACTCAGCAAAGCATCAGCCACTTTAGGACCGGACTCAAACGGAATTGTGAGCCCCTCTTGTCATCACGCCAACAACTTTACCCTGTAAGGTGTTGCTAGGCAACTCCAGTCACAGCCTCAGTGTTGGTGGCTGAGGGTTGATGAACAGACTGACCCGGACGACAGCGGACTCCCCTCCCTCGGCCGAGTCAATGGGCTTCTATGACGAGCGCTAGTTTGGGGAAAGAGGGACGGTGGGACACTTGGACGATGGCTTTGTGGTGCGGCTGGCACTCCGTCTCTCCAGCTCCGTCTATCATTCAGCGCACATGACCGGAGAATGTGACAGAACAAACATGTCGGAATCAAAATAATTGGTCATTCCCACTGCCTTTTGTCAAAAAACAACAACAATGCAGGAACTGGTTTAGGGACAATTTCAACTGGTTTTGTCGATTTATTTGCGTGAATCCCGTATCATTTCAGCTGTGTTATTTAACACTGATATTAGTTTTGGCTCAATCCTTCAGCAGTTACAGTATATCCAGCTTCTACAATGCTGACAAAAGGAAAAGCTGCATAGTCACACGCTATTTATCGTAAGGCATAACATACATGTAAATAGCTTGGGACACCAAAACAGTCCTTCAGGTAATTAGGACCATCTATCCAAACGCTGAGCCATTGATAATTCCAATAATGGTCCTCCGACAACTGAAAACGCTTTAACACTATATGTCTTCATTCACCCAATCATAGACAGGAGCTACCATTCACTGTGCCACATGCCCAGCAGCATCTAACACTTATAGCATTCACAGATTGTCCAAGGACCCATAGTCATGGACCCCGGCAGCCAAGTCTGACAAAGCAATCATTGAGAATTACTCGCACATGTGGTGGTCAACATGTTAACTCTGCTTTCTTTAAATAATGGAGTGGCCCCATCAATGGGATACTGCTGAAGCCACCCAACCTAGCCAGTGGAACAAAGTTCAGCTTTTATGTAAGCACATCCGTTACATAAGACTGCAGAGTCTGAGCAGCTCACAAATAATTAATAGCTGAAAGTTGACAGAGTACTTTTTTTCCATCGCTTCTTCAACCCAATCTAGAAGTAACTTGAATCTCCCTTTTCAAAATCACTGTAAAGTCCCTGCTGGAAGCCACATTCACGGACAACTGACAGCAATCCACAGTCCGCACTGTCAATCAGGAGTCTGTAAGGTTTTCTACAGAGCATCCACATGCAGACTGGTGTATAATCCAGAAAAGGAATATCAACACTTTTTGTAATGAGAATAGTTTGGATTAAATCCACCAGATTCAATTTTAAAACAATTAAAGTGCATCAAAATAGAAAAGCATGACAATGCTTCTATATGTAAGAGGTCAATTTGTGCTTGATCTCCAACTCAAATACTAGAAACCGTCATCGAACCGTCGATGAGATCCAACATTTGAATTACTGAGGTTTAGAGCTTCTGGTTGCAGCCTGTTTTAGTCTCTATGCTAAGCTATGCTAGCTGGCTGCTGCAGATACATTTACTGTGCAGACATTAGACTGGTTTCCAGTGTTTCCCCTGGAATTAACAAAAATAAATGTTTGTGCACCGCAGGTCTCCCCCGACACGTGGGCGCGCATATGTCCATGCGTGCGCACAAAAACATGGTAGAACGTGTTGTCGAATGGGCTCCTCACCTGCCACAGAGATGATGAAGGAAGCGTCCATGGCATTAATGCCCAGGGTTCTGGCTCGAGCAGACAGGTGGAAATAGGGGATGAAGTAGGCCAACTGGCTGAAGACCAAGGACCAAGTGTAGATACAAAAGAATGGGTCCTTTAGCAGGGAGAAATCCAGTACTTTGGTTTGCATGACGGTCACCTCGCTTGGAGTGCTGGCATGCACAGGAATTCCTACGGGGGTGGACCCATTCACGCTGCCGTGGTGCTCCGATGAGACGTCTGGAGACGTGGGTTTACACTGAGCCGAGTCGTGAGGCTTCTCTCCATTGACACCATTGAGGACAAGTCTGGTATGTTCAGGATCCACCGACTGGTCCGGGGGTCTTTGAGTACATTGGCCCCCAAGGTTCTCAGTTTCCCCGTGAGAAGGAGAAGGAGTAAGAAGAGGGAATGGGAATGAGTCTGCTTTGGAGATGCCATTGGATACCCAAGAGGAGCCATTCAAGCAGCTCTTAGTGTAGTCCTTCTCTGAATAGCTCTTAAGGGAGGCAGAAGGGCTCTTTTGGATAGGACAAGAGTTAGGGTTTGAAACTGGAGGCTTCACATGGATTGGTCGCAGGAGCATCCCAGTGGCTACCAGATTCAGCATGAGACCGCCAAGAATCAGCATTGCACCTGTAGGCGACAAAGAGACCTCAGGACCCTCAATGCCAACTACATCAAAAAGGAAATACCTCTGGTAACATACTTGCATAAATTACACAGTCATCAGTCATCAACAGAAATTGACTGCATACCTTGCCAAGCGTACCGGTCCAAGAGCCACTGAGTAAAGGGAGCGAGGGCAAAAGTCAAACCCATACCAGAACGCCCAATGGCATACGCGGTCGCTAACCTCCTTCGGAAGTACAGCGCTGTTACGACTGAGAAGGATTGGTAAAGTAGTGCAAAACCAATTCCTAAGAAGAATGAAGAAGAGTATCACTATCATATGCTTCAACAGGAATATGTTAGGAAAAGAGAAAAAATAGATATTTTGGCATACCACCAAATTTATACATACCAACTATGACTCCCATGCTCAAGTAGAGGTACACCACATTGTTGGCAAAAATACTGATGATGAACCCTCCACTGACAAGCACCGCCCCAGTGATGGAGGTCACCCTGGTTCCTAGCTTGGCACAGGCTACAGAGGCAATGGGCGCTGGAGAAGAAGCACAAAGATGTAGACTCACTTTGCAATCCTCTGGTGTTTATGTGTAAAATATAAAACATCATTGTTAAACGAACCTCCCGACAGACGCAGGCTGGACATGATGGAACCGATCCAGCTGATGCTTTCTGATGAGCCTCCAAACTCATCTTGGAAAGCCACAAAGAAGATGCCAAAACTCTTTAGTGTTCCCATCACTAGGACGTTTACCTGGAGGACGCACAAACACACACACACACACACACACAAATTGGAGGGAGACGAGATCAGTGCAAACCAAGAGTGCGTGAGATAAATACATACATTTTCATCAAACGTTATTATATAATGTTTATATAATAATTGTTATCTAATGTACTCTGTAAAACACACATATGAGTGAGAAGTATTGTTGCTGCCACCATCCTGTCAAGAACTTGTTGACAAAGGCCAGAAACCATATCATTGTCACAGAATATACCTGGATTTGACGACAGCGTTTTGGGAAAAGTGGATGCTTGTTGGTCAAAAGTATTTTTTGCAAATATTTGCATGTTTGAGATGTGACAGAGATCATAAACAGCGGAGGTGTACATACCAGGAAACAATGCAGCACCACCATCCAGCCCCAACCTCCATCTGGAGGATCCTCATAATTGATTTCTTTAGCCTTCTCCTTCTTCGAGGCGTCCTTCCTGAACAGGTTCATGGCTGCCTTGGTTTAACTGGAAGAGAAAAAAGTCATTAAAACATTGATAACATAATTACATAGGTTGCGTAATCAGAAGCATTCAGCACATCACAGTCTTTACATATTCTAGCATAACAAGCAGCATCCTTCTTAAAAACAACCATGATTTCTAGTTTTATTTTTTTTTATTAAAGTGCCTTTACGTCAACTAACTTAACAGAAACTGTGGACTAAAATATTAAAGTATTTTTTCCCTTTTCATGAGACCTTTGACATGAACCTCTTATGATCCTGAAGGATCCTGAAAGGACCGGACAGTAGACAGTAGTACTGTATTGACTTGTTAAGTCATTGAGCTGTGACGCAAATAAGTTACAGTGCAACAAAACATAGTTAATTTTCCACCTCTTTTGTCTTATTACAGATTCTGCACTGGACTCAATGTCTCAGCAGTGTTTACATTAAGTCCAAATGTTCAAACATTCGTATCACAAGGCTTATTGACAGCAAGTAACATGGCTTTGGCATCACAAGCTAAATTTTCATTTGTTCGTGATGTAATTCGTGACATTTTGTAGCTGTATTTGGGGTTTGATCCTTTAAGTGCCGGAATTTGGCAGAGGGACGTCAAATGGGGGGATAATCAATTATGATGAGGAACGAGCTGTCCGTGTAAGGAGCCAATTGTACTGCAGTTTATCTCAGCACTTTAACAGGCAAAGTCCAACATTGATTTACTTTCAGCCTTTCTTGGACCTTGAAGGTATTTATTTATCTTCACATTTATTTGTTCTTTTGTTTTTGTACATTTTTGTTATACATATATATTGCATATAAATTACTCAATTTTTGTTTATATTTTTAATCACTTTTTTTCATATAGGGTAATTTGTTTTTTGTATCCCTTTATTTTTCCTTGTTATTTTCCTTTCAGCTTTTGCAATTCCTTGAAGGGCGTCCGTCAATCAACTGGCTTTATGTCCAGTCCAGGGTGAGAATTGAATTCCTACACACGTGGACCAATGCTTTGAGAAAGCGTTATCTTCAGTCTTGCAGGCTGCACGACTTGTCTACATTATAACACGGCACCATCAGTATGTATGTTGTGGCTGGAGTTGAAGATATAAATGCAACTCATAAGGATCAAGTAAAGTAATGAATAATAAATCATTTTGATTGAAGTATATCAGATCCAATAATGAACACTGGATGAAACCTGAAGAAATCAAGTGACATGGCTTCTTAGGCTCATATGCTAGAAGACGAGGGTGCAGCAAACTTGTGTTTGTCACCAGTTCTTTGTAGCCTGCATCACTAACTCAGTCCGACTAAGACATGTACAAGAAGCAGAGACCACATTAAGCGGAGAGCACAGAGCGGATTAAAGGGGGAATGAATTGGGCCAGTGTACTTGCGAGGAAAGTATTTCTCCCCCATGTGCTGTGCAGAGGTTTTCATCAGAGTTTGGTTGAGTGCAGGTTCGTGAATGTGCCGGGCGTCTCAGGGCTGGAGCCATGTGGGATTGGGGATCAGAGCTTTGTAGTGGGGTATTATAGTTTTTCTCCGTAGCCTTGGTACATTTATCAAACCATCCTTATCAATGGCAAGAAAAGTGCATCTCTTGCATCTCTTGAAATAATTCATACAGATGGCACTGTATTTGCCTTGATCAAAGTCCTTAATTCATCTATCAAAAGTAAATATTAGTATAAATGAACATGTCAGAGCACTCAGTCCATGTGTCATTCTTTACAAAGAAGATGGTCAAAATTCTTTACAATGTTGTCAATATAACAGTGGGCTAATTGGTAATAGCATTATGAATTAGGAAATGTTAATCTCATTGATATCTGCTTCCATTTCAGAGCTTTGCAGGTGTGATACCAATGCGTTCGGTCGTCTTTCACAGAGAATCACATGGAGAATCGTCTGTTTCCTGACGTATAGTATATTAATTTGTTGATTGTCCATTTCATTTTGATACAGAAAAGAAAACAACAAGATTTAACGCATCAACGTTCGGATTAAATTGTTATCAGTTTATCTCGTCGAGACAAATTTACAAAATGAATCAAACAGTATTGTCTTTAAAACATGCTTGACGTATTACAGGACCAGTCTTCTTATTCAGGTGAATAGGAAGATGTGTCCACACTTTGACTGGTACTGTATGTTAACCAGTTCAACCGTTTTGCATCTGACTAATGACTGGGCATTTTAGGGGGTAAGACCAGTAGAATGCTTTTTGATCAACACAAGCAGACATAAGCAGTTGATAATGTAGGAAACAGCAACTAATGTTACTGAATGTTACTGCACACATTCACCATGAGATTCTTTCTCCTAGTTTTATATTCCTCTCCTTGAGTAATATATGATTTTGCGTAAGGTTAACGGTGAATAATGTCCTAATGTTCTAAATCTGTCCCGATATGACATACACAGCCTTTGCGCTGGAAGCTTATAAGTCCAAGTGGGTGGATGAAGACTGATCGAATTGAAAAGGTTTTAAAGGGGCCCTGTGGAGTTCTTGAAAACAAAAGTCGCATTATGTTTTACTGACTTTGCATTTGTGCATTTGCATCCTTGAAGTCTAACGACTGTGTTGGGAACATTTCCTTTCTCACACGAGGTGTTTGAAATCCTGCATTGTTTGCAGGCTTGCTGGTGCAATGCTGCTGCAATCTTGGTGTGTTACACCCAACTATTGATCAGTGGAATGAAGTTATCTGCAGGAACTTCTTTTAAATCCTCCTTGTGCATACGGAGACGAGCTCAATGGCTCTACAAGAGGTGATACACCAAAGCAACAAAAGCTGTAAAGGTAAGCTTAAGAATTGGTAAACAATTTGGGGAAGTGCGCTTATTTCTCTTTTCAGTTAGATGGGAAGAACAGCAGCACTTTCTTATCCATCCTCACTGAAGTATTGAAACATGGATTTGTGGGCTGCAGCAACGTCCTCTCCCCTAACAAAATGTTGTATTTGCATGTAAGAAATCGATCCCCATTAGCTATATATCGCTCATTAAACCCCAAACCCCAAAACGTCAATCACGTCCTACACACCCTGTAGGTACCAAGTAACTAAGCGTAACAAGGGAGAAACCTCTATGGTCGGTTGTTAAGTGGAGCAGCGACAGCAAGATACATGATAATTGTCATTCTTAACTGGCTTGTTGGGTTACCTGTTAATGCAGATTTGGTAGAACGCCTGAAGCCTCTGGAGTTGGAGATTAAACTCAGGACTCCGATTCTCCGTGTGTCATCCTCACGCTGGTCGAGGGGCACTTGTAACAACGTTTGCAACAAGATTAGTTTTAAACCTGCAACAAGGAGTGGATCACGATGAGATACAATTATACACATAAATACAAAATGAATGACACAACAATTTAGATACTCTTTGGTGCCAATCCCTCTTCTTGTTGTAACATTTCACAGTATCTTTCAAAATGAATTATCTGGGAAGCACACTTTTTTTTCAATGAGAAATGAAGACACATCGTTCTCAATGCTGATAAGACGTGCTGTGAAGAAAAGCTATTTGTCAAAGAGAACTATTTGACAGCGTAGCGAGCAGGAGTCAGCCGTGCCTCCTACAGATGAGAGGAGGGGCGGTACAGAGATATGAGGTGACACCTTTATCAGCCAAATCTAATCAATTTTGCGCCAGAAGAATTTGATTTGATCACAGTAATCAGGTTGTTATGCTCTTTGGTTTGGTTTTAATCGGGGAAATGATTATGACAGTCAACAAGGTTTTGCACAAATACAAAACAGGGGGTCGGAAATATACTACTGAACTTTGGCTGAATGGTGAGGTGGCCTGCTCAATGGTGAATTCCGAAAGTCTGTTGTATTACGCTTGAATTGATGGCGAGTATTAGTGTCCGTATGGACAAGTGCAAGTAATGTTGAGACTGAAGCAGCTAATAACACAGATGACTTTTATTCAAGAAACTTTGCTCTCCAGTGAATACAGGTAATATCTGCTATGCAAGCAGCATATATAATAAACATTACCTAAAATTGATGGAGCCAGAAAAATATCAAAGAACAAAGAATTAACCTCAATGATACAAATGAATACCTATCACACTTCTATATCATGACTCAGGTGCTTCAGTAATGACCAACTTATGAAGACAACTTTCCCTTTGTAGAGGCACCAGATGTCCCTCGTCTCCTCTTATTTTTGTCCTGGCCATTGAACCTCTAGCAATGGAATCTAGAGGCAATAGTGAGATAACTGGTATCACAATGAATGATACTATGAATAAAATAAGAGTATTTGCTGATGATATAGTGCTCTTTCTGACAGACTTCTTTATTCAGTAACTCAACATATTGTAACTTATTGGGTTATAAGGTTAATGCATCAAAGTCTACAAAGCTATTTTTTGAAAAATCTGAGGGATTAACTCCACCACTAAATACACCATTTAGGAATATTGTGGACAGCTTTACATACCTCTCTGTTAAAATAGCGCCTATAGAATCCATAGTACTCACTAACCATAACCCTGTGACTGAGTCAGTAGGTGAATCTATTACTAGAGGAAAATCTTTGCCAATATCCGTAATTGGGCGTATTAATATTCTGTAAAATATTCTTCCTAAATTCCTTTACCTTTTTCAATCCTTTCCAAGCGCTCCTCCTCCTAATTTCTTCCAATCCAATTTGTAACAATAGACTGTCAAGATGCGCATGACCTTGTTATAAAGCATATGACAGAGGTGGGTTAAAACTACGACGAGCTGCCTCATACTGGGTTGAACACTCAATACTCGCTGCACTGGATGAGGATGGAAAAAACCACAACCTCCAAAATTCCCCTATATGTCGACCTCTACTCAGCAAACTTTACTACTTTGAAGAAACACACTGCAAACCCCTTTGTTAAAAACACGTTATGACAATATGGCAAGATGTGTTAGTTATCTTGGGGGAAAAACTGCTCAATCCCAATACTCACATATTTGGGGGACACTTTACTTCAGGTACGACCCTGGTTTTAGGTTTTGGGCAGACAGAAGTATCGGAAAGATTTCAGATTTGTATGATTATGAAACCCCAAATAATGTTTTAAATTAAGCAAACGTTTAGCATAGCATTTTACAGGCATCTCCAGATAAGAAGACACGGAAATCTGTAAATCTCACCTCTCTAAATTCTTTAGAAAAGATAGCTCTAAGCCATTATGGATCTCAGTGTTTCATCAGACTTTCACAGCTGTAGCAAAAGAATCCAGATGACAAAAGGCGAGTATGGTGTTCAGCCCTTAATGAGGAAATCACTGCAGAAACGTGGCGGGACGTGTGTCTACTGTGTCAAGTCAAAACAATAAACTCAAGGGTGAAACTTCGCCAGCATAAATGGGTGATGAGAACATACATTGCATCACATGTACCCCAACACACATGTGGTAAATGTGGTAAACAGGTAGCTGGGCTCACTGCTTCTGCCAATGAACCCTCATTCAAGATTTCTGGACAGAGATTATTACAATCTGTTTGTATCAAACTACAACTTTACTTTTAACAATAGCAAAAAGAAGGTGGTCGCATTTTGTCTTCTTGAACCTAAACTGCAACGGCTTGCCAAGCAAACAACATTGGATAGAGACGCTACCTCTCCTTAGAGAAACGTACGTATGTAGATAAAGGGAAATATAATATCTACAAAGGCTTGGAGCTCCGTTAAGGAGTTCCTCGAGGGAGAAGATTGTGTTGTAACCCAGTAGCCTACGGTTAAGGAAGCATTCTATTTGTAGGCATAATAAGTATCTATCTGTGCATGTACATATGAGTCTCGCTCTACTGCTATTTTTATTTTCGTCTCTTCTGACTGTCGGTAACACCCAACAACAAATCATGCCTCTGATATTTCCATTTGAAATGGTGGCTGTAATGTGTAAGAACAAAATATATGTTTGTCAAAAAAAAAAGTATAAAATCTGGATCACAGAGCCACACCTGGTAAAATAATACATATTCCTCCTCAGCGTCCTGTCACCAATCTCTAAGCTTCCCTCCAGGTGCAGGAGTTTCTTCACTGCTCTGCATTGCAGTCTAAAAATAGTTGGTTTGCATAAGTCCAGCTGTTAAATTTAGTCCTCATAACTCTCTCCTATTTCCTATATCCCACGTTGTCTGCCTGCCTATTTCATCAATCAAGATACAGTTTCACACCCTGCAGCCTCTAACTATCCGACTCAAAGCCTTGTAGCCTTCAGCTTCTGCATGGACTTGTGAGGAACTCAAGACTTGTGAGATTACAAAGTAAGCGGCGGGTGTTCAGCTGAAAGCTTTAGGCTTAGTCCACGCAGGCACACACACGCACACAAACCCGTATGATTGCAGAAAGAAAACAGGTATCGGTCCTACTGTGTGTGGCTGTGAGCTGGTTATCTTCGCTTCACAGGCCTGTTGCATGGTGGCCCTCGCCCAGCTCAACTCTCCAAACTGAGGAGAAAAGTTTGGATGGTAACTTGTGCTTTATTTTGTCAAGGGGTAGTGGGGGGGGGGTCAGGTGTTAAAAAAACACACTATAGTCTTAAATTGTGTTAATAACGTTGTCTTGTGAGTGCAATAAATCCATACCTGAAATATCCTGCAGTCCTCGACGCGCTGCTGCACCAATATTCAATTAGTTCAATTTGACGCGTAATTTGGAGTCTTCTCGCCGCGGGTTTGTGAGTCCCAGAAGGATGTGCGCATCACCGGTGAGGGACTTTCTGGCAGAGACAGATTGCTGCGGGGCCTTTTCCTCCGGGGATGAACGGGCCATAACTTTGCCTTTTTTTTTGTTTTGTTTTTTTACCAGCGAGTCTCTCGGAGTTGCTCCTCACATCGCAGCCTGAACGTCGCTCCCTCGGCCGAGGAGCAACGCGAGCCAAGTATTCACCGAGCAGAGCCACGTGACCGAGACGTAGCAGGGGACATCAGCAGAGGGGGGAGAGAGAGGAAGAGGGAGGGGGAGTGAGAGAGACGCCTGCTCTCACCCAGTCTGCACCACTCAGAAGTAACGTTAACATCTCGCGGGGTTCTGATCGATCCCAGAATTCCTCCGATTGTCAAAGCGTACCTTCACCCGGAGAGGAGTCACCTGATGGGTCACCGACATGCTCCTACTTTGCATTTGCCTAAAAATCATTCTTCACAGATTTGATTGCCTCCTGGTTCTGGGATTAACGTTGTGCAGCTGCCACAGAACATGGATCAGTTGACTACAATAAACCAGCAGAACAAGAATGAATACTTAACACAGAGAAGGTCGAGTTGAGGTTTATTAAAAGGGGTTTTCTTTATGCATCAGCGGCGTGGATTATAGGACAAGAAAGGTAACAAAAAGACACACAAAGCAGGAACACCGCTGAGGCATTTTTATTAAAGCACTACTGACAGATTGGAATATATTTATAAATATGTACAAAGTCAAAGTAAGGTTATTTCACAGCAAGTGTCAGGAAACTGGCACGCATGTTGGTTCAGACATTTAATGCAGTTCGAACAGGATGCGTGACTACACCTATGTGCCATGCATGTACATTCCATTACATAGAAAACTCCACAGTCCGTCTCGTTGTCTTCAAGACGCGATCTTGTGAACTGCTACCGTGATGTTGCCATGACTCCTCACCAGAATGTTTCTACAAAAAGTAAACAAATTCAATTTACTGAGAAGAACAATCACCCCGTGAAGAATAATTATTGTTTATACTATTCAGTATAGTTTTGACTTATTATTATCACGTCTGTAATTCAACTCCAGCATTATGAATACAACGCAGTTTGGCCGTTTATTGTAGGACCGTTCAGTACTCCAACCTTTATACCAATTACCCAAGCATGTATTAATATTGTCGGTGATTTTATAAAAAGAAGGGTAACATTTAGAAGGTAAATATTGGTATTAGTCACTGGTCAAGGCCCTTAAACCAGAAGATGTTGTGCAAAGTCCAGAAGGTGGCAGTAAAGTCGCGCAAATGAAAGCTCAACTCCTCTGCCAAGACTTGTTGCTCGGTCTGAATGACAAACAATGGTCCCTCAGTCTTTGAGTTTGGACCTCTTTCAACAGTTTGCGTCCCCGGGCTTTATTGATCTCCATGCGTGTTAATGAAAACCACTGTAGTCAGCGCCCTTAAATTCACTGATAGGGAGATAAAGGAGGAGGAGATGTTGTGTAGACGCTCACCCCGACTCGGACTCCAAGCACACTGTTGGACTATCGGTCGGGTCTTTGATGAGCGCTGCAGCTTGTTTGGCCAAAACTGACACGACACCGCCGTGTTCATCAGACAGGGAGCCACGGCCTGTGCGTTATGGGATTTAAAAAAGACAGAGTTTAATTGCAAGGTTAAACTTCTGAATATATCACGGGTTTCTCGTTTTTATTATGATTACATCGGCCAGAAACAAAAATCCCAGATGGAAGGCTTCCTAAACTGATACTTCATTTAAATCAATGATATTGTGTCTACAGTTCAGTTGGCAAAGAGAAAATCATATTCTATACCTGACTTTGCTCTGTATTGTTAGTCACAAATAACCACACATCATTATTTATTAGCAGCACTGTTTCTTAGCATTTTGAATGACGATTTATCTCATTAAACGTATGTTTATACGTGGAATGTTCTTGTTTAGCATACAGGGACCACAACTTTGTTTTGGCAACCAGGTGGATAAAAGGGTCAAAAGAATGTCAGTTTACAGCAGGAAAAGGCTCATAACAACTTCACAGAGCAAAACATGACGCCTCAAAACTGCCTTTTTGGTTCCAGGAGGCTAAAATATCAAGTTTACTACTAATTTATACAGCGATTGGATTATTTTTGTTGCATTCTACGCCGGCAAACGTAATTGGCCTTAATAAAACTATATGTTCTAAATATTCATTCAACAAACATTTTTATATGAATATAAAGGATAGGATAGAACAAGCTGTGTTTTCTTACTGCCCAGGTTGTGTCCTTGTTGATCCGTGCAGAGCACTCCGACCACCGCCGGGTTCTTCATGCTGCCAACAACACAAACAAGGAGCTTTTAGCCATCTTCAGCATCCGAACGGTCCAAATATCACCGTCAGGTTTCAACTTACGTGTCATCCAGATGCTGCTCGAGGGTCGACTCCATTATCATCAATCCCGAATAACTGCAAAAGTCACGTATCGTGTATTAAATACGGTTTATTTTTGTAGCTCACTTCCTCAAAACTCCCGAATGGTGGTCAGCTGATCTTTGGGTGCACTACGGGTCGCTGCGAGGACCAAACGAGGCGAAGCGCGATACCAGACGGACCGAGGACGTGAGAGTAGAAACAGACAACTTGTAGACGCGGAGGTAACATGCAGGTCGCACGGGCTACATGAAGGCCCACTCAACCTTTGCTTTTAAAATACGCAAGTCATATTTGAAGAACTAACGTTAAACAAATGTAAGATGCACCGGCTAGCGTTAGGACCACGCGGATAAATCACCGCTCAAGTCCCCTGTCGGTTCCTCTTCTGTTTGCGTCATTGGGTTTGTTATTCTCTCCTGGTTCTAATGGAGAAGGAAAGTCCGGCTCTTCGAGAAAAATATTCGTTAATATAATATAGGGGTCACCTAATACCAATTGATGATTATTTGTTGTTATATTTCTTCAATGAGTTGTTTGGTTAATAAAATGTAAGGATATTGTTAAAGACGTTGATCAGTGTTTCCAGAAGCCCAAGATTACACCCACAAACGCTGGACTTCATGTCTTTCTCCCTTTCTCCTCTTGGTGGCTGGTGTGGGAGAAGTAGGAGCTCTGACAGGGTCATCAATTGGGACACCTGATTGGAGTTAGTTTACATCCAACAAGTAGATAAAAATGCAATGATGAAGGGGGGATTATTTTGAGTTTATTTACGTTTCGGCACCACTCTTAACTTTAGCTTCCACGGTCCGCTAGAGACAGTTGCCAGACAATAAGAAGTCCCCACTTATTGGAGCGAGGAGTGGGACGCTCCTTTTTCACAACGACAGCTTCCGGTCGTGATCGATGATGCTACTTGCAGGTCGCTGTAAAAAGTTAGAAAATAACATTTACGGCACACCCATGGTGATGAAGAGGCTCATTTACATGGACTTTGCACGGGGAGGAGTCGACTTGTGTCGTTCTGAAAAAGGACCCTACCATCGACCACTTTTCGCACTCGGCGTCCCTCCTGCAGCCAGCGGCACCGAGGGGATCCCGCCCCTTTGACCATGACAGTGACGTCATTAGGTCCACTTCGTAGTAAATCAAAAAATAAAGTAATGAATAATACAATTCTCAAATGAAGTATTATCAACCCGTATGACATTTATCAAATAAATAATTTGTTTAACTGTCTAATTTTCTCAATGCTTTCTTATCCTGGTGCCATATTGATGCATTTCTTAGATGGATAGCAAATTAACAAATACCTTAAAAGAAGCTTAATATATTGTAAATATATGCAAATATCATTCCTGTATTTTATGAGTGCATTAGTTCCTCATTCACTGTCATCATTTACGCGTTTCTCACATCAGCCACAGTGAAAATATATTAATATGTCACGGTGTGGTTCACTTCCTGTTGTATTTTGTAGTTTTCTGCCACTCGTGTCCCCGGGTAACTTCACTTCCTGCCTTTTCCTGTCATCCCCTGTGATCGTCTAATAGTTTCCACCTGTGTCCAATCACCTGCACCTCCCTTGTGTATTTAAGCCGTGTGTCTCTTGTGTCACTTGTCGCGTCATTGTCTTTCGTCGTGGATGTTTCTTGTCAATCTTCCTGGATGTTTCTTGGTCCCTGCCTGTATTTTTGCCACGGTTCCTGTGTGCGTTTTTGCCCCTTGGCTTTTGCCTGTTGACTATTAAAGTCTTTTGTTTTCCTGCAAGTCTGCATTTGAGTCCTGCCTTCCACCCGCACCCCTGGCAGAGGTCGCGTCATTCGCGTCAATCACAGTCATGATCATTAGTCATTAAACCGCTCTTTTCTAGAAGTCCTCGTTTGACACAGATCAAATTACTGGGAACTGATACCATCTTTAAAAAATGAACCAACATCACATTGGTGCAAACAATACTCCGCATGTTAAACATTCCTTTTACATACACTTTATTCAACACAACACATAGCATTAATGCTGTAACGGGGCCAATGCTTCTCACAGCATTTCATTGATTGATTTGGTATTTATTTCCACAGTTATCTGGGAGCCACCACCTGAACTCGCCTCCCTGCATGTTTTCTGCTGCCTGTCCCGGGGCGTTGAGGCTTCAGTGCTCTTGCTGACAAGGCAGAAATGGATGAATGTAATTATGTGGCTGCTGCATCGGGGGTATCCATCACCTGTGCAGCAGCAGGTTAATGCGCTGCTGACTAACCCAGGGAGTATCCTTTCTCTCCTCTCCCGTGACTCCTCCATGTTTCCCTTCCCCGTGGCTCCCTCACATTTCTCTCCTCACTGCTTAAATCCGAGCCCACACGCCTCCGCTGACAACTCGTCACTGTCGGAGAACACACGTAGGCCACGATTATGCATGCAAAATATTCCACACGGTCTCATATATGTGATGTATGTTTTCCTTGTCACATATACACATCCATGGTAGTGCATCACACATACTAGTGCATCGCGTATCCCGTCAATACAAGACTAGATTATTTGATATTTGCCTGCTCTAGTGAGGGTTCTAATTAAACCAGAACCAGAAGTAATTTGGCACACATAAGACTCATTATTCCTATTCCGTTATTCACCAAGTGCTACCAGAGTTAATAAGCGTTGTCATTGAGGTACAACGGAGTCTCTCCAAATTTGCTCAAAATTTTAGAAATGTGTGTCACGTGTTTTCAAATCAAGCAATTGCAAATAGTGAAGTAATTAAAGACCGTATCAGACCTGGAAAGGAATAATCTTAGAAAAAGATATAGAAATGTTAATTCACCTCAAAATAGACATTTAAAATAATACCAAACAAAGAATCGTCACGATACTGCAAACACCACTGATTGCAGTGGAGCTTATCTAATAAAGATGACATGTTTTTAACATGATATGCATAATTATTTCAGTATGAACGCTGTAAAAATAGAGGGCATTGTGACACATAATAAAACAAGGAATATGAATTTCAATCCACACGTCAAGCTCATTTATGAGTCATCTTGTGGTAATTTCAGTAAACTCGTTCCATGGCTTTGATGCTGATTTGTCTTGTCCCGGCTGCTTCAGACTGAGAAATAACTCTGAATGTCACGACACCTGTGCCCTTTTTCTCACCAAGAGGCGTCAAATTCAATTCATTTCATATGAATGTCATCACTTGTTGAGCATATTCTCCATGTTCGCTTGAACCACTCGAGTCATGGAAAATCTGTCACCCTCTGTTTGCGCAGCTGCTCGGTCAGACACCGACGGGCAAAGATGGACAAGCAGAGAGGACCTCCTTACGCCTCCATCATCGCTATTGTCCGAAGGAGTAAGATGACGAAGCTCCAGAGGAGACAGGCTGGGAGGGCGTGGGGAGCTCTCAGACGTGGTGAGGGGGGGAGGGAGGGCCGGGCGGGGGTCTGAGGCAGATAAAGAGAGGGAGAAAGCGTGGCTCCCCCTCTGAGGAGTTCTGGGAACCTTCATGACTGAGCAGACCTCCGGGGATCCATTGCGAGGTGACGGACGAAGCGCGAAAAACTGCTGTCCAGTGTCGAGAGAGTCCAGATCTCTTGTTGCTGTCATGGTCTTCAGGGCGCTGCTGCTGTCCGTCCTGCTGGTGTCCCTGAGCTGCTCCAGAGGAGCCATCATCACAGGGGTGAGTGAGAGGTTTCTGTCTCCGCTGTCACTCATTACTCAAGCTTCTCTTTTCAGTCGTGTCTGGTTAAAGAAGGCATTTTTCTTTTTTTTAATCATCTTCTCTGTGATTTTTTTTTTAAAGTGTATTGAGACACTGATTTTAAATTCAAGTGTTACTACTTACTAGAGTATCAACTAACACTTATCTTCATTACAGCTTAATTTGTATTTGTATTTCTTTGTTTATACTTAATTATTCATTTAGTCTGTAACATGCAAAAACAACATGCTGATCACACGTTTCCTGAGCCTGAAGTGATCATCTATTTGTCCGATTAACACTACAAACCCTAAAAACACAGAAATTAGAACAATATAAAGAGCGAAAGCAGCAAATGGTTATATTTTATATTTGATTAACTAGTAGACTCGGACATATTTGACAGTTTTGGTAGATAAATGACTGTGATTCATTGACAAATTGTTTCTGAGCTAATTCTGTCAATGCTTTGGAAGTGTGCTGCTCTCAAATCCAAATACAGAGTTTGTTTTAAATTATATTGTATTTGATACTCCTTACTTCTGATTTTTGGTTTGATTTTCTTGGATTCAAACTGAAAATACTGCACACAAAAAATACCTACAGAATCGTGCCAGATAACTGGCACGATTCAGTTTTCCAGATAATTTTGTAAAATGTGATTAGCGATGACTGACAGGAGACCACATCCTCCTCCGCTCCAAGTCCAATGGAAAAGAACAGAGATAATCATCTCAATTCTCTGATTGATATTCATTTGTAAATGGATTAGAGAGATGACAGGTAATGGATAAAGTGCCGTTGACTGTACAGATATTATTATACATTATTATTCCAATAAGTAAAAATGAAATACATTCAAACATTAAAAGAGTATCACCATTAACATAAATAAAACTGAGTCCCATGGCCTTAAAAGTACTCTGCATGTCTGTCTCTTTTATTGTCCCCTCTCGTCCATACCGCCCGTCTCTCCCTCTGTGCTGCAGGCCTGTGAAAGGGACCTGCAGTGTGGTTTTGGTCTTTGCTGCGCCGTCAGTCTGTGGCTGAGGGGCCTGAGGATGTGCGTTCCAAGAGGCATCGAAGGGGACGAATGCCACCCATTTAGCCACAAGGTGGGGAGAAATGTCACTAATCTTTCTGTATTACACTTTCTCTCTCTCTATCTCTCTCTCTCTCATTCACACTCACACATGTGCACACACACACACACACACACACACACACACACACTCCTAGTTGAAATTGAGATTATGTCAAGCTGCTGGCAGGTTGGCTGAAGCTTTAGAAAAGCTGCTGATAACTGCAGAAGCTATTGATCTATTCCAGAGTGAACCGGCCAATCAGAGCCACACATCACTCTGATCATCTGGAGAACACAACAGTCTGTCAATTCACTCTTAAACTTTTAAAATACAGATTTTTAAGATTATCAACTCTTCTTGTCAGCCGATGAAGGATTTTAATTGTGAGCTTATCCCTCCCTCTCCTTTTCCCTTTTCCAGGTGCCCTATCTAGGGAAAAGGCATCATCACACCTGCCCTTGTCTCCCCCACTTGATGTGCAGCAGGTATAGTGAAAGCAAGTATAGATGCACGGACGACTTCAAAAGCCTGGACTTTTAACAGCCGACCAAACATTCAGATGAAGAAGATCAGATCAGAAACAGCATTCAGAGTGAAAAAACTGGCTTTGGATCAGAAACACATATTTAACCTTCAATGCCTGTATTCTTCATTTGTGTTCTCTATGCACTATAAAACATAGTTTCCACACATCATGGACACAGAGAGAGAAATGTCAAGAGAATCACACCTCAACAAGAGCCACGGCAGACGTCCAACACTTTACTTAAACAAAATGAAAAAGATTAAAACGTTTGATCTTTTGTTTTCATGCTCACTTTATGTAAGTAGTCAAAAGATATGTATAAATACTATTATCAATAAATGAATAATTACAACATTGAAAAAGTGCCCTGTGAAGTTTTCTTTTCTTGTGCGTTCTATGTGGCTTGAATAAACATTATGTTATGTTATGGAGGGTTATGGTATGTCGAGTGGTTTTAATCTCTCTAGTTTGATTATGATGAAGGTCAAAACGTCCTTTACCGCCTCAAGCAAACTCAAAACTGCCGTCTCTAACTGATGACATAACTGACGGATCGCCACCGATTTCAACCCCAACATTTGGAAGATCAAAGTTTATTTTTCCTTGTAGTTTTTCAGGATTTTAGCATCTTGAGGTTTGTTCTTTGCCTCATTTTCACCTCAATATATTTTGTATGACATCAAATCCTTTGCTAGAAGAAAAATAACAGAAGAAAATAATTAATATTTTTTTCACCACTGTGCTTAGATGAAGTTTCCAATTTCCTGACGATGGAATAAAGTTAATGCATAAATATATATTTTGTGGAACCGGATGCAATAAAATGTAACAGCAAGCATTTAAATGTGGCGAGTCATTTTTTCTTTTGATTTTCCAATCAAAATCAGATTGCAGAATATGGATTCGCTGCAGCTGGAGCACACATCATTGCAGATTACTGGGTCTTTGTTTTGCGTCATACTTCAAAAAATGCTGCCCAGGTAACCTCCGCTCACACTTTTGGAAAGTGGAAAGTTTCCACAGGAAATAACAATAACAGATACAGTAACGTCAAATCTTTTGTTACATAACAACGGTTGTTTCTCACCTTGATAGCTTCCCTTTACAAAATCATTTCTGCCTGCGTGTATTCTATGACTGTGAGTTTAGGAAAAAGCTGAACTATGCTAAGCTAAACATTAGCTCTGTTATATAACTCTTGCATAACGTTAGTGCAGTTGTTTAGCAGAACAAAGTCTTTAGAGTGAAGCATACGTAATTTGAAAGCAAATGGTTATTACAAAGAACTTTAGAATTCCAGGAAAGGTTTAATTGTTGCTTTGTCCAACGCGATATTTGCTTCCAGAAAACATTGCATAGTTCTTATCTCCTGCTGATAACTCACATCAAGATATGTGGAAGGGCATTTTGGAGACACAACCTTGATGTTTTGTATTTAAGGGCTGGACTCGGTGGCTTGAATTACACTCTGGGCAGAACGCTGAAGAGAAACAATGAAGTTGCTCGTGGTCCTTTCAGCCCTGGTGGCTTTTTCCGAATGCCTGCACAAGTAAGTGTGACCTGTCTGGTTGAGGAGAGACCAATTCCTTTATTTTTCTTTATTTTTTTTCTTTCTACTCACTTTCAGACATCTGTCCATTCTGATGACTCTTTCTTTTTGTTTCTCTGCTTAGGATCCCCCTGATCAAGGGGAAGACTGCCAGGGAAAACCTCCAGGAGAAAGGACTGTGGGAACAGTATAGGAAGCAGCATCCATACAACCCCATGGCAAAGTTCTACCAGACTGGCATTGAGTCCATGACCAACGATGCTGACGTAAGTCCACACCATTTAAAGCACAAACAGCAGCTATTTGACACTGTGACTATTTAATGCAACGCTTGAGACCCGTTTATGTCATTTGCAACTGTCGGCTTTGTGTCTTGTGTCCCTCTAGTTGTCCTACTACGGTGTGATCTCCATCGGTAACCCTCCTCAGTCCTTCAGCGTCATCTTTGACACCGGCTCCTCCAACCTGTGGGTCCCTTCAGTCTACTGCTCCAGCGAGGCTTGCAGTAAGTGTTGCTGAGTGTACCACTCCTGCTGGGGGTTAAACGTTTGGCTATTGCATTACACAGCGTTGCATTACACAGCGGCTGAAAGGCTCACAGGCACCGTGTGTAACTTCAAATTTGAGGTTTCATTTATTTAATTGATCAGTATTACTTGTTATAATGGGGGTCGTGGCGCAGGGGGTAGAGATGGTGAGCTGGGAAGCACAAGGTTGGTGGTTCGAGTCCTGGCTGCTCCATGTCCCATGTCGAAGTGTCCCTGAGGAGGACACCTAACCCCTAATTGCTCCTCGGACAAAATGTGAAAGCCATGGGTTAAAAATGTAATGTAAGTCGCTTTGGATAAAAGCGTCTGCTAAATTACCTGTAATGCAAAATAGTATTTGATATACAAATCCTGTTTTGATTAAATGTATAAAATTTGCTATCAGTTCACAAACTAAAGTAATGGCAATTCCCCCTGTCACCAGCTGCAACATGCATAGTAATGCATGTTAATAATAACCCACGATTGTAATAATATATAATACTGTGAATGTGATTCAGCAACATCAGTACATGTAATTGACTATAAAATGTATATATTCCTGCTAATAAGTTTGAGCTTCTACTTGAAAATAACTTAGTTTAGAAATGTAACTTGTAATGCAGTATTTTAGTAGTGGAACATCTATTTGTTTTCTAATTTAACAACTAATAAAGATTATAAAGTATCAGCAAAAGATGACAAAGACCCCATTTGTCTGCAGACAACCACAATAAATTCAACCCAGGGCAGTCCAGCACTTTCCAATGGGGCGACCAGACTCTGTCCATCCAGTACGGCACCGGCAGCATGACTGGACGTCTGGCAAGTGACAATGTTGAGGTAACTAAAACCCCCTGGAGCTAAATGCATCGTCTATTTACACTGCAAAAAGGCAAATCTCTGTGTTCGGTTGAACTGTGACTGACAGCTGTCTTGTGTGTACAGGTGGGAGGCATCACGGTGCCAAACCAGGTGTTTGGGATCAGCGAGACAGAAGCTCCTTTCATGGCTCAGATGGCAGCCGATGGCATCCTGGGGTTGGCCTTCCAGAGCATCGCCTCTGACAATGTCGTGCCTGTCTTTGACAACATGGTCAAGCAGGGACTTGTTTCCCAGTCCCTGTTCTCCGTCTACCTGAGCGGGTACTAAAAGAGGATGGAAGTGTGTTTCCTGTGACGTCATTTCCTGTCTGACATCTCATATCTGTAATAATTGTTTCCCTCTCTCAGCAATAGTGAGCAGGGCAGTGAGGTGGCCTTCGGTGGTATTGACAGTAGCCATTACACCGGTCAAATCACATGGATCCCTCTGACCTCTGCCACCTACTGGCAGATCCAAATGGACAGGTACCAAGAAAACAAAGTACACAAAGTACTAAGCACAGACACAAATTAATCAACTTGGCTGTAATCGACTTCCTCCGGTTCCTCCTCCCAGTGTCACCATCAATGGACAGGCTGTGGCCTGCACTGGTGGCTGCCAGGCCATCATTGACACTGGTACCTCCCAGATTGTTGGCCCAACCAATGACATCAACAACATGAATTCCTGGGTTGGAGCCACAGCCAACCAGAATGGAGAGGTGAGTCATACCATCATAACGTAACATTTGAAGTAAATTTTCCCCATTTTCTGAACCCAGAGTTAACAAACAGTTCCTGCTCTGACGTCAAATCCCTCAAATGAAAATAATTATGCAGGACGGGGTTACTTGCTTGAGCTGGGAACCCATACAATGCCAATAAATACAACTTGTGCTGCAACACGGGATTCAACTGTGTGTGCGTGTGTGTGACGTTCTTCTCTCAGGCTACAGTGAACTGCCAGAACATCCAAGGCATGCCTGAAGTCACCTTCACTCTCAACGGACAGGCCTTCACCATCCCTGCATCTGCCTACGTCTCACAGGTCAGTTCGACCCCGACCGCCCACTGCAGCAAAACGTTCCCAGCACTGAAACGAAAGATTTGTGGGAAGTAAACGTATTTTCTGTCGTCTTTTCGCAGAGCTCCTACGGCTGCAGCACTGGCTTTGGCCAGGGTGGCTCCCAACAGCTCTGGATCCTGGGAGATGTCTTCATCAGGCAGTTCTACGTCATCTTCGATACGGAGAATCAGACCGTTGGCCTGGCCCAGTCTGTCTAATCAAATGAGACATTTGAATGTATACTTAGGGGCTTGTCTGATTGAAAGAAGAAAATGGTGCAATTGGTGATAGTGAGAATATGTTTGAACATATGCGTTTGAATTAAATTGATTACAGCAATAAGAATCATTCTGGGATTTTTTTGTATGTGCGTCAGTTTGACTGAGATCACACATCAGGGCTGCAACGTTGTCTTTGGAGACATCTTCAGTCGCCTTAGTTTTGTGTTGCGCTGTACTCAAATGTCACAGAAATAAGAATCTCTATTCACTCGCTCGCTCTGAAGACAACCTTGACCTTCTATAGAGGATTGCAAAAGGATCGTGAAAGGGAAGAAGAGGCCAAGAATAGAAAATCGAGCACCTCTCAGAATAGCCAAAGGACTAGGTTGTAACCGTGAATCTATACGGACAGACACTGATTCAACAAAAGATAACCCCATGACGCAATCTTTATACCTGTGGACACTGACGAAAGGCGTCAAAGGCAGTTTGTTTCAATTCCACCTGATACGGTTAATTTCCGTAATGCATGGTTTCATTTTTAAGTCTTCTCATTTTCACAAACAACACATGCTATATATACACAGGGTAGTTAAATGTTTTATTATCGCACCTCCATAAAGTTAGGGGACTCAGTAAAGATGAAAAAAAGAATAGTTAAAACAAAAGGAGCAGGTCATGCAGATGCTTAATCATTATTACAGGGGTCAAGCTCCGAAAATGAATCCAATTTTCAATTTCAATTTCCCACAAATGTATGTTTTTGTTGGCTCCTCCCTGCCGGATGAAAACTCTGCCCTGTCTGAGTAGCAAGCATGACTCGTACTGGAACATTTCCAACAGTGGCAAATGCAAAATCGGTCTCATTAAAATCCCAAATGAAGGTGGATTCACTGGTGGATTGCCAGTGTTGAGTACTCCACCATCCCGTCGTTCTCCGCCCTGCAGGAGGAGTCGGGGGACCCCTGCTGTGCTTCGTGCACCCTCAGGTTTTCATACACCTCTGTTGGTCTCGGGTGAGCTCTGAAGTCCACTGTCGTGTAGACTGTGCCGCTCACTTCCTGGGGGGAGACAACCTCTGTCATGTGACTTTCTTGTGGAGGAGGTCTGAAGCACAAACTGCTTTTAATCTGCTTTTGAGAAGTGACAATGAATCACAGAGGCATCGTGTTTCCTGTCCAGCACTTACCGTGGCCTCTTGTTTCAGTGACTCACGCGGCGCTTCTCCATATTTGTCTAGAAGGAAAAAATAACATCACATTAGTTCTGTTTAAGCGTTCCAAAAAAAGTCACAACTTCTTTTTCCAGACACTCAGATCTTTGTGATCATCAGTTTAGGAGAGAACTGCTTACACGGCTGTTTAGGTTTGGCCTTCACTTGGCAGCAAACAATCCCGATAACTGAAGTGATGAAAACCATCACTGCAATGGACACAATGACGGCTAGTGGCAGACTGAAACTCCATGGAACCCTGGAGAAGAAAACAATAACACATACATGTATATACATATATAGATATATTATCTTCCGTCTGACAGCAATGTTTGCCCGACTAGCAGCAGAAAAAGAGTAAAGTGCAGCGCATACCTGTCGCTGTCGCTGTGGTCCTGTGCCAGAGCCGGCAAGGTGGCGTCTCCAGGTGTTGTGGAGATGTTGGGGGCTTTGACAGTTGTTGTCAGGGAAGATTGAGACTGCTTGTCATGAGCTGAACCTTCTGCAAAATGCAAGATTATCAAGTTGGCTTCCAAAGCATACGGCTGGAATTAACCTTTGCAACCGCTAAACTAACACACTAAAACACTAAAATGTTGCATTCTTTGCCTGTGCGTTATCATACAAGCGGCTTTTGCACCATTCAAAATTACAACACCACATTAATGAAAATGAAAACTGCTCACCAGAGACCTCCACATAGTAATCCTGGTATACGTGGTTCTGGGTTCCCAGAACAATACATCTGTAATATCCTCCGTCCACCAAACGCACATTTGATATTTTAAATTCGATCCAGCCGTCTTTCTCCGTTTTTGTAACTCTTCCTTTTAGTAGCTCACAGGTGAATCCTGCACTGTCCAGGAGCTTGTAACATCCTCCTGGATAGAGTTTACAGCAGGACTTGTTGTAAGTATTGTAAAATGAAGGGAAGCGCAGTCTCAGCAGAAAGTGCTCAAACTCCTCGATGTTCTGCTGACCTTTGAGATGAGGGATCCCTGCAAAACAAACATTTCTTATTAATGTCTAATTACAGGTAGTAAAGAACAGAACATCTATAAATTATACATCTCTGGTAAAAAAAAATCGTACTTAGTAAAATAATCAAGACAAAGGACAACTTCATCTTTATTGTAATGCGGAATAAGCACTTTTTGTAACTTTTCCACCCTTTTTAGAGGATCTGAGGCCCCTCCCTGCCAAAGACAAGGGGAAGTAGTCCAGGCCGACATAGACGAGTCCCTACACACACACACACACACTATATATATATATATATATATATATATATATATATATATATATATATATATATATATATATATATATATATATTACATACACATATACACATACATATATACATATATATACATACATATATACATATATATATGTACATATATAGTCAGGATATATCATGCTAGTTCCTGAGGTGGCAGTTTGTGGTGTGTTTGTATGGGATAGCATTAGATGGTTTGTTCCTGTCATTTCCCCGAACCGTTCATCATACTGCATCATGTTGACACAATATCACATTAGAACGCAACGTGACACACAAACGACATACAGCCTTACAATACCTCGTTACACAAACTCATTTCTGAGTGAGCAAACAGTGACTACTTTTTAAGGCTAAAATTGTATTAAGCCCAATGTGTTATAATTATAGACATTATTAATGTAGATATACGTCACTTTATGAACAAAATCAATCCTATTCAATTTCATTCATTCACAGACACGTTATATCATTTACACAAGTGTACACAAACTGATTTATTTGGTATCAGTTCTCAGGTTATTAAACACTTCAGATTCACAAAACAAATCCTCCATCGTGCAACAGTAGAGCAACACAAAGGTATGTACATATGAATATTTAGAAAACACAATGTTGTGGCATTCTAACAATTAACATAATTACAGAGCAAACATAAATCACCCCTTTTCCAAACTAAAATGTTCCTTTGCACACTCAGTATATTCTCCAAAGTGTGAGATAAGCTGATGTCTTGCAAATGGAGACAGTTGAGGCATGTAAACAATAATATATTTAAATAATTACAGAAGAGACCTATCTTGCTAAATGAACTCTTAAATAGACAGCCCCTACGATTAAGTTAGAAGCAACTGGAGCAATCATTTGAATTTACAAAAAGCTGTTTATCTGAATGATCAGTGCAACTGCCGCCAGGCAGGTGACAGTTCGGCGGATGTTTTCGTTCATAGTTGAATGCATAAATAAGTTGAGGTCACTGTACTAGTGGTTTCTAGTCATTTGGATCCAAGCGGGCTTAAGAAGCCGTCTATTCCTCTGTGAAGGTGATGACGTCGTACTGGATGCCTTGCTGCTGCAGTTGCTCGAGCTGCTCGGCTGTAGCTTCAGTGTAGACGGTTTGGGTCTGAGCCACGGCAGAGTCTGCTGCGCCTACGAGAACAAAAGGTAGTTGTCAAGGTGTTTACTGTAGGTGTTCACCGTGGAGGTGATTTCATGCTTCAAGCTTGTTATTGTTTAAAGTGAATGAGATCATAAAATAGTCACCTATTAGAGTACACATGTGGTCTAGTATGTTTTAGCACATTATCTATAAAGGAATACGTGTTTACCATTTTCTAAAGCATCTACAGTGTTTCCCCTTCCATTGTGACAAAAACACACTGGCGTGATGTTTAATAGATTGATAATGAAACAATCAATGAAGTGGAGGACTAAATATAGATACTGGGAAGTGCAATTTGTTTTCCAAGACAGCCGACCTGTGACAGTGGAGTGGGCAGCGGTCTCCAGATCTTCAGGATTAACCATCTGCTGCTCCGTGCTCACAGGAAGATACTGGATCTGACCGTCGTGGCTTACAGCGATCTGAACGCACAACATGGAGCGAGATTTTGTCAAGAAAAAAACTACTCTGGAGCGTTTTAGGTTATCTGCCTCACTTTGTCAAGCTTAATCTCTAACTGTGGAGTGATCAAAATCTCAGCCTCACCTGTTGCTCCTGCAGAAAGGTCCCGTCATGCTCATACTGGATGATCTGTCCATCTGCCATCTAAGGAAACAAAAGAGCAGTTAGAACATGACATTATCCCCTTAAAACAAAACACATGTAGTTCTCAGATATTGCGACTTCTTACACCGACCTGTATGTGGTTGCCATCAGCTACTACTACATACTCTTGAGGGATCAAGTGCGGCACGCCATCCTGCGAGATGATGTACTGAATCTGCAATGGGACAAATGAGTAGAGATGAAAGCTTGAATATACAATGGCTGCTCTGATATAAATATATACTGTAGTAAAACCTACAAAATGGCTCGTACCTCAGTTACCTGGTTCTCTCCCGTCATTAGGTGCTGAACTGTCTGTCCATCTATGGTGGTTATCTGCTGGATATACGTGTCCTCCTCCTAATTAATGTACAAATGAATACATTTAGTTTCTTAACAAATTTGCCTCCATTCTTATTGCAAAAAAGGGTATGTGCAGCATCGTGTGTGTGTGAGCACCGTGTCGGAGAGCGCTTGTTCTTGAGCTACAACGATGTGCTCCTGTCCAAGCGCCTGCAACCGCTCTGGAGTGATCACTGTCTGATTTGCCTGCAGGGCTGTTACACACACACACACACACACACACACACACACACACACACACACATCAAAGCACACACATTGAGTTTGAGATCTTTTGAGATTTTGTTTGCCACTGAATACAGTCTCGCCCTATAACTATTATAATAATAATATATTCATATTGTTTGTGTTCCTTACATTGCAGTGTGGCCAGGGCCTCCTCATCACTATTCACTATGATAGTGTTCTGGGACGTTGGGGTGCGGCTCTTGCGAGCCGCGTGATCCTGACTGTGGAGACGCTCCATATGAAACTTTAGATGCCCGTTACGGTTAAACCTGAGATATCGGGCAAGAAAATACGTCAACATCGGCGGCTGTCCATAACTACCTTTGGTGAATGTATACAAATGATTTTGTATAAAAGGTTCCAGATGTTAAGGAAACCCACCTCTGTCCACACAGCTGGCAAGAGAACGGTTTCTCGTTGGTGTGTGTCATCATGTGTCGCCGCAGGTCTTTCTTGTTCTTGGAGGCAAAGCTACAGCTTGGACACTTGTGAGGGCGCAAATAGGAATGCAGCTCCATGTGAGCCTAAAAGAATAGTTAACAAAGAGGGTTTTAAAACAGAAATGCTTTCTTTTCCCATATTTAAACTCTATTTAATGAGCAATTGAATGTTCATGAACGTGTTATTTCTGCCAGCTTTTATAAATCTGGGGTCAATTCATGGCCGGCTTTGAAGTGTGTTAATTATTCTCTGCAAATATTGTCTGCCTTTGCCAGAAAAAACAGATTTCTATTCAGTGTAAAGATATTGCTGCACAACTTAAGAGGGATTCACCTTGACCTCCTGCCAGGACGTGGAGGTGTAATCACAATCAGGACACTTGAACGTGTTGGGGTCTACGTGTGCCCTCTTGTGGTTCTCCATGTCAGAACGTCCGTGGAAAGATTCCATGCATATTCGGCAGGAAAACCTCTTGGTGCTCAGACCAGGAGAGCTGACGGCGGAGGGAGAGGCTGGAGCCTCGCTGCTCAGCTGACCATAAGAACAGAGGACACAGTCAGAGGGGAGCGGTACGCCATGTGGGCGGATATTTACGTGGCAAACTACTGATCCCTTGCGGTTACCTCCACCTGTTGCAGAACACCATCCGGCAGCGCTGACGCCAGGTAGTACTTTTCACCTTTCAGGCCTTCTGACCCGCATACTTCCACAGCCTGAGAAGGGCTGCCATCATTGTTACTGCGGAGGCGAATGTATGAAGACATTTTAGATTGGGAAGAGATCGCAGAGGTCATCACTAATTCTACACGCGTGTTACCTGTATCCAGGGCTGTGGCTGATCTCTTCAACCGCCTGTTCCACAACGCCAAAGTCTCCCGCGGCCTCATAGGCTTCGATGGCGATCTGGGTCAGCTCCCCCGTCTCAGAGGCGGCTGCCTCAAAGGCCTCTTGTAGCACCGTCTCACCGTTCTCAGACACATGGAAGGTCACAACCTTTTGTGCCTGGCCAGGTACTGTGGTCACCGTGCTCCACGTGCCCTTTTCCAAAGCTTTGCCTTCGGAATTCAGCACCGCCACCTGAGGAGCACGTTCAATTCACTGTTAAACACAATCTATGTTGTTTACAAAAGGCAAACGTACTTCTCAAATGAATGCAAGCCGCATATTTCAAAATAAATATTTTGATGTGCACCAACCTGTAAGGCGTTCCCAACCAATTCCCGGGCATTACTCATATTCAGCAGCAGGTCGAGGGCATTCTGCGCAGATTGGTCACTGGATTCGACTAAAGAGGATACGGTGAAAAAGTCAGCATTTTGTCTTCAACCTTTATTAAACTGATTGACAATGTAATAAAAATGGAATAATAAGTAGCAGTGTGATATGCAAACAGTATACCTCTGGGGTCTGTGTGTGTGTGTGTGTGTGTGTGTGTGTGCCCCTGTTGGTAGGATGGTGACATCCAGAATAATAGAAATGTTTCTGGAATAAAAAGAGGACTGACCTTGCTCATAGATGATGGTGGTGTTTCCCATTGCGTCCTGGGACACAGAGGCGTTTTCCATTCCCTGCATGGCTTGTAGTGTAGCAGAGTCCACCGCAACCTAACGAAGGGGGGGGGGGGGTGTAAATAACGCACATAAACATACTAAAATCCTAATTGGGACCCAGATAAATGGCAGAAGACATCAAACAGACTCACAATTGTGTTCTGCAAATCCTGTGTGTCATCAGGTTGTTGTTGTTTGAGCTCCTCGATCTGCTGTAGCGTAAAGAAAGGCCCGCGGCGCCTCCTGATGGGCTCCTCGGGGTGTGTCACGGACCACTCGTCAAACGTCTCCGGGTGGCGGCACTGTACGTGCAGGCGCAGGTTCTTCCTGTGCTTGGTCGTGAAGTGGCACATTTCGCAGGAGAACGGCTTCTCCCCTGAAGAAGAAAGCGTTAGTTGTAAACGGTGCTGTAGAGCTTTGCATTCATCGAGTGAACATACTAGTCGTGAATCAAATTAGCGGAAGCCTTTCTGCTGACACACAGACCTGTGTGTTTGATGGCCAGATGGGAGACCAGGAACTCCTCTTTAGAAGTGGAGTATTTGCAGTAGTCACACTTGAAGGGCCGGTCGTTGGTGTGAGACAGCTGATGGTTGAGCAGCAGCTTCTTGTTGTCACAGGTGTAATCGCAGAA